ATCAGTCGGATACGAAAAATGGCCTAGGTTCGCTTTGTAATGGCACAGAATGAGCTAAAGCAAGCTTGAGATCTGAACAGGTCCCACCGAAGGGTAAGCTACTGAGCTGTTATCTATTATCAGTATTCTCTTGCACCCTGTCTTTTTTTAAATCTCCATAACAATCAAGTTCCTCTAACACTTAACAATCCATATGCAAATAGCAGACAAAGATCTCCATGTTGTGAGGGACAGTGAGAGCAGGAGAACCCTACAATGGGGTGGTCCTTCTACTCTCCGGATCTTCTCTTGTAAGCTCCTTTCAGAGTGGAATGCAAGAGTTTTGACACCTAAGTTCTGAATATTTCTGCATCAAGCTTTCTAAGTATTCTTAGACAATCTGATAAGAAAGTTCAACCAACCATAACTTTTTTTTTTTTTTTAATGTATATATTTTGTCAGCAAATCACATAGGGCCTTCCTCCATGTGCTTTAGTTGGAGTATCCTTTAAGGTCTACAAATAAGGCTTTGTTTTAAGTACAGATGAATACACTGTAAATAAAGGTTGCCAAACACGCATCACTTATTTTTGCAAAGAAGAATACACATGAAAAGTGCTCCCTTGATGTATGTAGCATTCAAATGCAAGTTCCTCTTAGCTTGTGTGCCATTACCACCAATTTCTTCATCAACATTTGCCAGAACTAAACTGCACATCCTCCCTATCCTATTAGTCATTATTCCATTTAAATCCCACTTCCAATAATCTAAAGGCCCTCTCTCCCTCAGACGTGACATCATCGAGGTGCAGCCAAGCTCTACCGTATAATCCGTAACCAAGTGCCAAATCAGCCCTGTTAACCCCCCCTTTCGATTATTTTTTTCCCTCGGCAACTGCAGCACCAGGGATTGTCTGTTCCTGGTCCTTACAGTTGCTGTGGAACACAGCCAAAGACTATCATTGCTGCAGAGGCTCCTTTCCAGGAAGTTATAACAGTCGGCTGTGGTTCTCTAGCTCCTCTATCCTGTATGTGGCTGCCACATTAATACTGACCACCTTGTCTTTCTAATACGCCAAGTGCAAAGCAGGGAAGAGTGAAACATGTTTTGTCTCAGAATTATGGCAGTACAATATGTGATCTGCAGCCTGTAAAGAGCTATGTTTGCAGCCCAGGACTGTGACTCTCAGACATCTCAGGCTATTTATGTCACGGGAAAGGGCTACATTCATTATTTTCTGTCAACAATTCAACAAAATCAACAGGTGTAATTCAGACAATAGCTTATTATAGCAAAAACAAGAGCAAGAGCAAATCTTATTTTAAGTCTGATTAGGTTAAACATATCACTAAATATAAAATGTTGAGGAAATAACCAGGAAGTTTTAAGCTTCAGGCTGAAATGACCCAGTTGGAAAATCAGGCGAGTTGGAGAATTTTTACAATCGGGTTATTTTTTTCTAAACTTTAGAAATCCCCTGATTAGTCATCTTTGTCAAAACTGCTTTACATCATATCACAACATAAGGAAAAAGAGACTTACCACATTTCTCTTTGTTGTGAACTGATTAACACCTACAAAATTAAATACATCCTACAAATATACAGGTAAAGTGAAACACCCACTAGAATGATAATGTTCCTATTAATGCAAGTTCCTAGATACAAGTGGAAACAAAAGGCAAACCAAAAAACTAAACGGCATAAAAGAAAGTACAAAAATAATAATATATTCTTAAAGATGCGCTCACTCACTCGAGACGGATGCACTACTAGTGAGAAACGACACGATAATTTTTTTTATGCAACTTTGCCTGAGCCATAGTTTGCACTTGCCAATTATAATTGCAGCATACACCTAGCCATAGACTATGGGACGACACTCCGAAAAAATTATGTGCGGATCCCGGGCAAGCCTTCCAAGACATTGGGGCTTTGCTGCATTAGCCACAACAACTCGCCCCTTCAAATATGGCACCTCCTGGGTTCTACTCCATGGCTTCATATGAGAAGTTACAGGAGGAGAACTTCCCAATCATCCTGCAGGTACCACCGCATTCGTGGCTGGAGGATAACGCTCCCTCAACACTTCTACAGGACATTAAAGCAGTGTTTCAGGCTAACACAGTGCTGTGAGGGAGGAGGTTGCAATGCTGACAGACCACATACTAGCTATAGGAGAATATTTTGGGGGCATGCAAGTGCCACAGTCTGCTACAGATGCTGCACTTGACACCATACAGAAGAAATATGGAGATTTAAGCATGCGACAGGTAAAATCGGTAGGATAGGGCTAAGGCCCGCAATGTCAGGATCAAAGGAGTGCCTGAGATGGTTTCCCCTTAGGCGTTACCCCACTACGGATGGCTACTATGTTGCTGTCCACGAAACAAGCGGCTACTGTTCACTGTTTCTGTCTCGCTAAGACCCAAAACGCACCATCAGAGGCCTCCAGGGATGTGCTTCTACAATTTTAGAGAGACTGTCAGCTCTGCGGTATTAAAGGCCACAAAAGCATCCCTCCTCATTGACTTTTGAAGGCTCACAGTTGTCCTTCTACAGAGATCTCTCAAGATCAACTATGCAATGGAGGCAGTTGTACTGCACTATAACAAAGCTACTTCAGAGGCCAAGTTTCCATACAGATGTGGAACCATCGCTTGTTGGCAGAAAGGAATGACATGAAACTTCCGCTTATTCAGCACAAGGACAAACTTGCTTTTCTCTAAGCATTGGGTGTACCAACTGAGTCTCTGCCACCGCAGGGCAGCAAGTCCTGGGGGGGGTCAATTTGATCTCTCTATTTGTCTCTGGATTGGCCTCCGTTAAGGTGGCTGGTTTTGAGACCCTCCCAAGTTTTCTATTTATTATAAAATATTCCAACTCACGTGTAATTTTATCTGAGCTAACAGTTATGCACCTATTGTTTTATTTCAGTTTTTACTAATTGTAACTGTAAAAGGTATATGAAAAATAAAGGATTAAAACTAAAATTCAATCTAAATATTACGTTTCTTGAAGTAATATTATCAATCGGCTGGTAGAAGTTCAGCCTTGGTGAGGGTGGCATAGACCCAGTCACCCTGTGCAGCCTAAAAGCAGCAGTTTATTATAATAATGGGTACGTGGCTGGTAACTGTGGCCACAAGGGGATCAAGCAGCGGACTCCCTAGCTGTATCTATACCGCTCAGCCTAAACCCACATACTTGGCATTGTTTGATACTACACAAGTTATTGGCGGTGAGCACAGGTGGGCATGATACGGCTCTGTTAACTCACAGGAAGACATTTACAGTGACGAGTAACATTGATGCCTGGGTAGTAGAGTAAGAATTTACATTTTTAACCCTAATTATAGTAAAGATGAAAACCAAACGTGTTTTATGGGAAAATAACATTATAAGAAGCTGGAGACATTGATAAAGCACTCAGTGTTGGGTTATTAGTTTACAGTTTCCAAATCACTTCGATGAAAATTATTTTCCCATAATACAAGGATTACGGTTATATAGTGTGTATTAGTGTCTCTCTCTCATAGGACGAACAACGATTGTGCAAAATATTTAAAATAAATAATATAGTTATGTTTATGATTCATTTCTAAAATGTTTAAATAAGTGTTGAGAAAAGGCCAAGAGTCAGGCGAATAAATTGGAATTGGTCAAATTAAATAAGCTGTATGTCTCCCCCCCCCACCACCACCACAATAAGGTACAGGTACAGCTTGACCATATTAACCCTTTGCTGCATCATCAAAACAAAAACAAAAAAATATTTCCCTGAAGAGTTGGCAGTACACCCAAAACAGCAGTGTGGTTAACAATGGGTTAAAACTATTACATCTAATTACCGGCAGAGCATCCTGCAGCTGTAATTGCCCCCTAGCCCAGCGGAAGGCAAAGTGCTCTGGTTGTTCCTAATCTGTTTCTTTCTTCCCGTCCTGGGCTCATTCCCATGGCAACCCCATCAAATGACCGCAAGCAGCTAACGGGAGGCTTCATCCCCCTCATTGTCAGACAGCCAGAGCGTGCAAGATCTGTATATAAACAGACTACAGTGACAGAGGGTTAATGAAATGGCTTCTTATTCAAGAAAACACAAACAGTGTGAGAGGCCAGCATAGAGACAGACTGCACAGCCAGAGAGGCCAGCATAGAGACAGACTGCACAGCCAGAGAGGCCAGCATAGAGACAGACTGCACAGCCAGAGAGGCCAGCATAGAGACAGACTGCACAGCCAGAGAGGCCAGCATAGAGACAGACTGCACAGCCAGAGAGGCCAGCATAGAGACAGACTGCACAGCCAGAGAGGCCAACATAGAGACAGACTGCACAGCCAGAGAGGCCAGCATAGAGACAGACTGCACAGCCAGAGAGGCCAACATAGAGACAGACTGCACAGCCAGAGAGGCCAGCATAGAGACAGACTGCACAGCCAGAGAGGCCAGCATAGAGACAGACTGCACAGCCAGAGAGGCCAGCATAGAGACAGACTGCACAGCCAGAGAGGCCAGCATAGAGACAGACTGCACAGCCAGAGAGGCCAGCATAGAGACAGACTGCACAGCCAGAGAGGCCAGTTTACCGACAAGCATCACAGAAAATTTTCAAAGAGCTCAGTATACAAAGACTGAACAGACAGGCTAATAAACAGACATAATTAAATTTTATTCAAAACCCTGAATTCAAAAGTAAATTGCAACAACTAGACTAAAATTCCAAATTGGGAATAAAAGCAGAAGTGGATTAATTTTCCAATTCTTTGTCTAAATTCTGCAATAAGGTTTAAATTCTGCAATAAGGTTTTTAATCCACTACAATCCAGTGTTTAGAGATTACACACAGTGTGCACATACATAAACCATCACACCGAGAAATACAGAGTGAGAGAAAAGAGAGAGAGTAAGCAAATAGTGAGATCAGAGAAATACAGAGTGAGAGAAAAAGAGATCACCATACAGAGAAATACAGAGTGAGAGAGAAAAGAGAGTAAGCAAATACAGAGATCATCATATAGACAAATACAGGGTTACTTACTAAACTCTGAATAGCAGTTGATTGAAAACCAAGCTGCAAACCTAAGACAAACATAGCGGATATCAAGGATCTCACCAGCTCAACTACACAGAGCTCGGCTTCTTGGTTTCCAATGCAACACAATTCGGAGTTTATTGAATAACCCCGATAGTATAATTCACTAAACAGGGAATTTACATCTTAGTTGACTTAGAGCAGGGGTGCCCAAAATGACAAAGCTTCATGGAAGTTGTAGTTTTAAAACATCTGGGGATCTACCTTTTGGACACCCTGACTTAGAGATTTTTTTCAGTTATATTGGCCCTAATATGTACAATTCTTGTCACCTTCTCACTAAATTCCAAATTATAGCCAATTAAAATCCTGAATAGCAAAGATGGGGAGAAAATAAATAGTTCACCTGGATGAAATCTCCACAACTATATTCACAGCTTGGCTAATTTAGCCTCAATATTTAAGTCCAATATCAGGGTTATTTAACAAGGTGGGAATTCAACATAAATTATAACTTTAAGGTCGAACTTAAAGCTTAACCAACAGAGAATTTTACCAGTTCGGCTATTTTGATGTTTAGTGAATTCTTTAGACTGTAAGCTTGTTTGAGTGCAGCCCTCTTCAACCTATCGTTGCTGTAAGTTTTTTGTAATTGTCCTATTTATAGTAAAATCCCCCCTCTCATAATATTGTAAAGCGCTACAGAATCTGTTGGCGCTATATAAATGGCAATAATAATAATAATAATAATAGTGAATAACCCTGTATAATTTGCTATTTAGCGAATAAAACTGTATTAATTCACTTTTTCTTACAATTAACACTTTAGACAATAAACCTAAATAAGCGTCCACAAAGGGAGGTGTGCCTGGACACGGCGTGTGCAGAGAAATAGGAGCCAGGTTAGAGACTGCAGTTAGCAGCCAGTGAATAAGAAAATGTAGTTAATTTTTTTTTTTTTTTAAAGTAGCAAAGAGTGGGCATAGAGATTATGGGACAAAGTGTGTTTAGAGAGAATGTGCAGGTAGGTAGTTAATAATACAGAAACAAACATATACACTAGGCTCTTTTTTTTTTCTTAAAAAAAAATAAAAATAAAATGTCAGAAAAATAATGAAAAGTAATTCAAGGAAGATCAAAGGCAACAGTTCAGAAGATTATGCACTAGTGCACCGGAGCGCAGACAGAGTCTCGAGCTGAGAAATTGCTCAGGAGCGAACATCTACACAAATTGTTCCAGAACTGAAAATTAGTCTGCCTTTGAACATAAGGGGGAAAAAAAAATAAAAAAATACAATCTGAGTGACATTTGCAGAATTGTATATAATAAAACACAAACATTTCATCCCAATGGTCGGAGGATCAATTCAAAAGATTTTAGCAAATTTGCATCAAATGTTTTCCCTAAAATGTTCAAATATTAGATCCATCGTTTTTCTTTTCCCCAGATATTCTCAACAAACTGAGGCTTAATAAATCACAGCAAACGTTTCCCCACTGAGAATGCAATGACCACAAAAAAAACACATTTAAAAACACCAGTTTTAACAGAGAATATAAATTCACCATCACATAGCGATCGTTTCAATATTAATTTAGTAATGGGAGGTAACCCTTTCATGTCCGTTTACTGAATGTGGAAAGCACTTTAGTTGGGGATGACATGGTTGGGGAGTTGTATTATAGCATTACTGTATAAAAAAAAAAATCAGTGTTTATTAGTATAGATTTTTTTTTTTTTTATGCACAGGCATTAGACTTTGAAATAGGATAATGAAAAAAAAACATTCAGCCACCAATTTGTTAATTTTAGCAGATGCACAAAATGAGAAAGGAAGCTGAACTTGCCAGTTTGTGAGTTAAGTAGCCAAAGATATGGCCATCTCAATCTTAATGGTAAAAAAATAACAGCACACTATACACGTCCTACAACACACTCCTACATTTGTTAAGAAACCATAAAGCAATGGATTTAAAACGATAAACTACATCCAAAACCAGTCCACTTTAAAGGATTTCCTTTTATAACTGACTATTCAGCGTCAAGTCAAACATTCTAATCAGATTGGAGTAAGTAAATAAGCATTTGTTTAAATATACATAGGGATTAAGGAGAGAACACGAGTAACTTTTTCTCTTTGGTTTTTACTGTATGTATTGGGGTTGAGTGTACTATGGTCGTTGCTGCCGCCCAAGAGTTTGAGCGCGTGACTTTTTTTTTATTATAATCAGATACACAGATTTTTGTTTTTGGGGGAGGGGGGAATCTATTAAATTAAATACAAAAGGATTCTATTTAAAAATAAATAGTATGCGGTCACTATGTCACTAAACAAGCTGTTGAGAATTGATAACCAAACTGCATAATCTAGACAGGACTAGCTGATTTGGATAAAACCTTGGGTTTATTCACAACATGACTATTTAGGTCTGTATTTCCCAATTAGGTTGTTATCTAAATACAAATCAGCGTTTAATAGATAAACTACAGTATTATAACATGTGAAAATTGATCCTGAGCTATTTGGTGAAAATGCAGTGTTCTTTCAGGATTTAAGATGGGATCCTTCTGACATCGGTGACGCCTGAATGAGCTTTCTAAGAAGCCAGATTGGTGCTTAGCCTTCATTAAGGTTTTCAGGCTCTATTAGAATTCAACAAAACAAAGCAGCCATAACCACGTTAACAGTGCAGAGAAAATCTCCAGTAAAATTGGTAATGCAAATGTGAAATACATAAGACAAATTTCAGAGATGTGTAATCAAATAAAGTCTCTTTAATGAAACTCTCCGTTTGATTAGTAAGAAAGAGTTTGGACATTTAAGAAATAACACTGTCAGTTAGGAGTAGAAAAAAAAAAATATGGAGTTTAGAAGAGACAGTCATTGACATGAGAGCGGAGACAGCTGGGGATATGCGAGACAGCTGCTATGTGTAGCCACTGGATGATGGTTTCCGTTTCCTAATAAGGAAGTGAGTGTTAAGAGTGTGTGTTTAGATAATCACACAGAATCCACACAGCTTGTGCAATAGAACCATTCTGTTTCCAAATCATAGCCTGCAACAGGCATCTAGAAAAACAGGGCTATGGAAATAGAGAATCACATGAATTATCCTCTTTATGTGCTATGGTTCATTTACTGCATATTGAAAAACTGGTGAGGCATTCTCCTTGCGATGTGACTAGTGTATGAATGAAATGTATAGAAAGCAGAGCCTGAAGCCGCAAGTCGATGGATGTGATCTGTGTGCAAATTAAAATGTATGGACACCACTATATGAAGCTGGCTTTCCTGGCATGTGATCAGTTTAAGAATAGATTGTATGGAAAGCAATATCCGGGGCTGCACTCCCTGGGATGTGAGGAGTATAAATGAATAGAAAAACAGTATCTTGTGAGATACTCTTAGGATGTGACTGGGGTATGAATGAAATTTATAGAAAGCAGTATGAAGGATTGTACTTGTTGCTATGTGATTGGTATATAAATTAAATATATAAATGGGAGCCTCCAAGGCTAAACACCCTGGGATGTGAAAATTGCACTAATGAAATGTACAATATGCTTGCATGCAGGTGTTTGCCCTCTGAGATGCACTTAGAGGTATGAATGAAATGTATGGTAGGCAGTATTAAGGGCCATATTCCCTCAGATGTAACGTGTGTATAAATTCCACACACAGAAGGCAGTATTCAGGGCCATATTCCCTCAGATGTAACGTGTGTTTGAATGCCGCACACAGAAGGCAGTATTCAGGGCCATATTTCCTCAGATGTAACGTGTGTGGGAATGCCGCACACAGAAGGCAGTATTCAGGGCCATATTTCCTCAGATGTAACGTGTGTGGGAATGCCGCACACAGAAGGCAGTATTCAGGGCCATATTTCCTCAGATGTAACGTGTGTGGGAATGCCGCACACAGAAGGCAGTATTCAGGGCCATATTTCCTCAGATGTAACGTGTGTGGGAATGCCGCACACAGAAGGCAGTATTCAGGGCCATATTTCCTCAGATGTAACGTGTGTGGGAATGCCGCACACAGAAGGCAGTATTCAGGGCCATATTCAGATAACGTGTGTGGGAATGCCCACACAGAAGGCAGTATTCAGATATTCCCTCAGATGTAACGAGTGTATGAATGCCGCACACAGAAGGCAGTATTCAGGGTGGCACGAACTTTAATTTGACAGGACTCAAGGGGTGTTGGGTTTGATGTCAAAAATACATTGTTCCACTCAATGAATCAGTGTGATCCACTCACTTACTTCTAGTCTTAATATGTCCTCCTCACAATCACACGTTTGCTGCAAGGTTGGATGCTCTAAGTCTAGACTCTTGTAATACATCCTAACAGGCTCTTTCTCCATTGTGGTTTAAGAGACCTGCCCTATGCTTGTTATAATCTCGGTTCGAGACATTAAAATAACATATTAAACGTTTTCCACAACTTGAGAAATCTAGAATTCCCACGACTCCATCCATCTCAGTCCAAACATGGGGCTCTGGGTCTGGTCTGCGAGAGGTCCCACCATGCCATACGCCAGTGGGTGGAAGAGGTAGAAACTGAAAAGGCAAAATAATTTGTAAAGTCACTGACAAGGGAGAGAGCATAGTATAAATTTCAGGGATTCTTAGGAACTGGGACTAAACTTGTCCAGCCATACTTTATTTAACGAAAAATTAAATGAAAAAAAAATTAAAGCTGTGGTTTTTAGTCAAACCAGTTATTCGGGTTTGGTAATAGTGGTCACAATACATTTCACAGAATAATCATAGTGTTTACAATGTGTTTTCAGAAATGTGGCAAGTTTTAATGTGTATTGAGATTAACTATGGTACAAATTTCATAACTAGTCCTTATAACGTAGTTTTTTTTTCTATTAAAGAAGTAGTTATAAGGATCTGATATTTTTTTTTATTAATAAAATGTTGCAATTAAATATTCCATACATCAGGTAAAAGGAAGATTCATTAAAGGTGCCATTTGAATTTGAGTAGAAGACAGTTATGTGCATGCTTGGATAGGTTGACAATGGCCTCTGTAATAACTCCGTCATATAGATATTCACTGTCAGATTGATTAAATGAATAAGTATCAAAAATACATTTGATTTTTCCAAAAACAGGGTAATATACACAATACTTGTTATTTATACACCCAGTACTTCCATTATCAATTCATGGAGGATTTTATGTAAGTATAGGTATAAAAATAAAATAGAGAACAACACATATTTCAAGATGCGTTATTTGAAATATTGGACTGTAGTTTATCAAAGTTATCTTACTTTATGTCAGAGTCAAATTTAGTTTATGGAGTTGATCAACTAGAGGAATTATACCTGTACAGTAAGAGGAGTATTATGAAGCAGATCCCAGCTATATAGACACTCTGACTGAATCGGGGAAGTAGCAAACCAGTAAAGGATTTCAGCAGAACAGAGCAGGTCACAGCTGTGTTAATGGAGGAAAAAGGTGAATTAGGGCATGGTAGTATGGTAAATAACCATCATCTGTGGGTCATTTGAACTTTATACAATTGGTCTATATTTTAGACCCGCCATCATAGTCTGATGTGCAGCCCAAGAGCTCTGTCGCCATATGACCTGAACCATAGACACTAATTACAATTATTTATATAGCACCAACAAATTCCACAGAACTGTACAATAGGTAAACAAGACAAACATTTAATTCTAATTAAACAAAACATGATTGAACATACAGGAACAGTGGAGAACAGGGCCCAGCCCCAACAAGCTTACAATCTAACTGACTGATCTATACCACAAACATCTATTCACTGTCGAATTGCAATCTGTATTAAACACAGCGAATTGGGGCACCAACATCTAACCAAGACACTCCAACACAATCTGGCACAATTTGATCTGCAGCCCAGAATACCAAACAAACACAGTCTGATCTGCACCCCAGAATACCAAACACACTCAGATCTAATGCCCAGACAACCAAACACAGTCAGATCTAAACCCCAGACAGCCAAACACACTCAGAACTAAACCCCAGACAACCAAACACACTCAGAACTAAACCCCAGACAACCAAACACACTCAAATCTAAACCCCAGACAGGGATGCCATCAGAAATTTTAGGGCCCCTGACACAGCTCAATATCTGGGCCCCTGGGGCCGGCCCCGAGTTCGCCCACAAGGATGAAGTGTGTGTGTGTGTAGAATGTGTGTAGTGGATGTGGTATGTGTGTCATGGATGCAGTGTGTATAGTGGATGTAGAATGTACGTTTTGTGTAATGTATGTAATGTTTGTATGCATACAGTCGATGCAGAGTGTGTGTGTAGTAAATGTAGTGTGTGTTTTTGTAGTGGATGTAGTGTGTGTACAGTGAATGCAGAGTGTGTGTTTTTGTAGTGGATGTAGTGTGTGTACAGTGAATGCAGAGTGTGTGTTTTTGTAGTGGATGTAGTGTGTATAACGTATGTAGTGTGTTTGTAGTGAGTGCAAAGTGTGTATAGTGCATGTAGTGCGATTGTGGTGAATGCAAAATGTGTATAGTGAATGTAGTGTGTTTGCAGCGAGTGCAAAGTATGTATAGTGATTGTAGTGAATGCAAAATGTGTATAGTTCATGTAGTGTGATTGTAGTGAATGCAAAATGTTTGTGGTGAATGCAGTGTGTGTATAGTGAATGCAGTTTTTGTAGGGAGTGCAAAGTGTGTTTAGTAAAGGTAGTGTGTTTGTAGTGAGTACAACGTGTATATAGTGATTGCACCACATACACACACACTACAAAGTGTGTTTAGTGAATGTAGTTTGTGTGTAGTGCAGAGTGTGTTTAGTAAATATAGTGTGTTTGTAGTGAATGCAGAGTGTATTTAGTGAATGTAGTGTGTATGTGTGTAGTGCAGATTGTTTAGTGAATGTAGTGTGTGGTGCAGAGTGTGTTTAGTAAATGTATTGTGTTTGTAGTGAGTGCAGAGTGTATTTAGTGAATGTAGTGTGAGTAGTGCAGATTGTGTTTAGTGACTGTAGTGTGTGTGTAGTGCAGAGTCTTGAGTAAATGTAGTGTTTGTGTAGTGCAGAGTGTATTTAGTGAATGTAGTGTGAGTAGTGCAGATTGTGTTTAGTGAATGTAGTGTGTGTGTGTGTAGTGAATGTAGTGTGTGTGTATTTAGTGCAGCGTGTGTTTAGTTAATGTAGTGTGTGTAGTGCAGAGTGTGTGATTGTAAGGATGCAGTGTTTGTGTAAAATAGGGGGAGGGGAGTATTATTTTTTTTTTTAATTTGTCTGTATTTAAATTTTATTCCCCCCTTCCTGCTTCTTACCTTGCCAGGGAGGGGGAAGATCACAGTGTGGAGGGAGCCAGCCGCGGTACGTTGCAGAGAAGGGGCCCAACAGCACAATGTCTTCCTTTCCAGCTCCTCTCTGACATACTCTCGCGAGACCGGCCTGCGTGCTGTGTGGAGCGTTGCCATGGGCGCAGGAAAGCAAGACAGAGGAGCTGGAAAGGAGGACCGAATGTGCTGCTGGGCCCCCCTCTGCAATGTACAGGTAGCAGGGGACCCGCAGTGCACAGATATATAGCGAAAATCGCTATCTATATGTGCACATAATGAAAGTGGGGCTCGGACTGCTAGACAACCAAACACAGTCTGACCTGCACCACAGACAACCAAATACAGTCTGACCTGCACCACAGACAACCAAATACAGTCTGAACTACAAAACAGACATCCAAACGCAGTCTGACCTGCACCCCAGACACCCAAACGCAGTCTGACCTGCACCCCAGACACCCAAACGCAGTCTGACCTGCACCCCAGTCACCCAAACGCAGTCTGACCTGCACCCCAGTCACCCAAACGCAGTCTGACCTGCAACCCAGACACCCAAACGCAGTCTGACCTACACCCTAGACAACCAAACACAGTCTGGTCTGCACCCCAGACACTCCATTAATATCTGATCTGCACAGGAGATAACTATTGGTAAAAGTGTTGTTATACAGTATCTGCATCACACATATCCCATACACTGACAGGCAGTAAAGGCATGTTTGGGTGCAGGTAGTAGTAAGAGTTAACATAATGTTCAATATGAACTTCAGTATATATCCCAACAATGCCATCTAGTGGTAGAAGATAAGTATAGCTGGATAAATATCCACAAGTTCATTATTGCTTTGATTATAGATTTTATTTGTGAGTGTGGTCACAATGAGAGAAGCAAATAAAATAAAAAGCAAGAAGAAAGATGTGCAGGACTCATCTTTCCAATTCAATAGTTTACATGTAAGATTGCATCATTTACAATGTAACACTTATTACAAGTTTGAGACATTATCCAAATTATTATTATTTATGTAGTGCAAACAAGTTCCACAGCGCTGTACAATGGATGGACTAACAGACACATAATTGTAACCACATGAGTTGGATGCACAGAAACAGAGAGGTTGAGGACCCTGCTCAATAAGCTTACATTGTAGAGGGAGAGTGGTAAAGTGACACAAGTGGTAAGGCTAGAAAAGTAGGTTGGTTGAATAGTATTTAGAGCTTATTTATTTTTTTAATGACCGTTGGAGGAGAGGAAAAAGGGTGTGGGGCGAGTGCCATTAGAGTCACCTAGCCTCGAAATCTTGGCCCCACCAGGACCGGTGGGGGTTATCCCGGTCCAACACAGCACTAATTCATACCTGGCTACATGCTCAAGGACCCTGGTATTTGGGCACAGACAAGAGTGATTCCTGAGAAATTTACTCAAGATGGCAGCTGCCAGCATGGGGCCATGCTGATCTACCACAACCAAGTAACGGTCTATTAGCCCGCTTTGACCAGATATGTGCTCAGTTCTAGCTGCGCTTGCAGGGGACCCTGGAAATTGACACTGGCAGGATGAAAACGTAACAGCAGTCAACCTCTCTACATCATAGCCACCCAGTGAGAGCTCCTAATGCGAATCTGACTGGTCACTCTCGGAAACTGGGTTGGAAACAACGGCAGCGTAGAGCAGATAACTCAGGGGGTCGCTCCTGGCCTCACATCTCCACATGGGACCGAAGATACAGCGGTTGGACCACTGACTACGAAAAGCTAAACGCAGCTGAGACTGCTGTATGGCCCACACTCTGAGTGGCTACATCAAGCCCAAAGGGTTGGAATAGGGCGATAGGCATGGACTGTTCCTGGGACTTAGTTTTTTACGCCTGTGACTAATTTTTGTTTCACTTTAACGCACCGAGAATGCAAATGTCTACACTGGGCCCATACCCTGGAGAATGTCTGTCCTATGTTGAACAAGCTGACATAGCTAACTTGTATTTAGATGCTGTGGATGTGCACTAACCTGTTAATCAACCTTGCATAATTCTCGATTATTTTCCTACTTTACTCATGCAACTAACTACTCGACTTGCTTATAAAAACAGATGTTTTTTTGTGCCAGCTAAGCCTTTACTACGTGTTGTACCTATATCCCAGTTGAATAGGTCTTTTGCTGGTTTTATTTATCTTCTGTTATGTGCAACCATCTCAATAAAAAAAACAGATTGACCAAAATAAAAAAATTAAAAAAAAACACAGATACAGAGCAAACAAAAATTTCAGTCTGTCATGATACCAAAAGAAAATGTAATTCTTTAATTAGAGTATGTAATCTATATTTATATATATTTATTTTTTACATTAACAATTCTTATTTATCCTTTTATCGATGTGAAAAGCTCTCATTTGAGTATTACCTATTGTAGTGCGTTTATTTATATGGTGATAAGAAGGGTTCCTGGTCATAGACCATGGCACTGCTATCCTCTCACACTCTTCTGTAAGTTACAGCTTAGAATCGCTATTGCAGAAAGGAATTCCTGTTTATGGATTTTAGTATTCTCACGGAACACGTGAAAAGTGACAGACATCAACCAGATCCAACATTGCCTGAAGTCATCATACCCCCCAATACAATCACTTTGCTGGGGCACAAATAAAATCCCTGAATGGACCAACCTGTAGTGCACGGTCATCATTTTACATTGCTATTTAAAACCTTTAACCTGGGTGTCTGTTAAATTGGAGGAAACAGTAGGAATTACAGATTTTAGTATTGCTAGGCTAAGTGTATAAATGTGGAAAGAAAAAAACAAAAACACAAGACACAGCAGGAATAAGTGCACTTTTCCCTACTTTAATGTATTAAATATTAAAAACCCCAAATCATAAAAAGCTCCAAAACCAATATGGTTCATTGTGCCCTGAAAATAAGTTATTGAATAAAATGTGTGCTGCACCTCATAACAGAACAAGACAATTAAGAAAAGCAAACGTTTCTGCCCGATTGACCTATCTGCATTAGTGGCCAATCTGCTTGCAATGTTTGCATCAGCTCCAGATAATATCCCTCTTACATCTAACGTCTCAGTTGAGGATCAGAAGATCAAAGACTTACCTGTGAGCATGCAGGAGAAGAGCATGGCTGGAAAATAGTGGTGGAAATAAAGGACCCGTCCCATGAAGTAGAACGGACAGTAATGTAGTAGCCACCCCAACATAAGCTGTCCCCCGCCCTCCAGGAGCACATAGCAACTCTCTGTAAAACAAAAGGCATCTAACATGTTTCCAGTACTCAATGTCAGGAGTGTCAATACTTAAAGAACCAGTTTAAACATCATAATAACTTAATCTAAATTAAGTTACAGCACCAGAAGGTCCCTGGTGGCGCCTCACCTTTAGGGGTTAAACAGTTCATGAATGGTTTAACCCTAAAGTCTGTGGTCCAGCACTGAATCACTCTGTCCTTCTATCCTTCGGCAATCTAAAATCTTAGATAATGGAAGGCTCGGGCTGGGGTGCAGGGGCATTGCTGACTGGTCAGAGTGGTCAGCTGATGCTCTAAGCCAGGGGTAGGCAACCTATGGCACGTGTGCCATGCATGGCACTCAAGGCTGCTAGAGCCAAACAGGCTCTGGCCTATCAGGAATCCCAGTGAAACTTCAGATATCTGCTAATACAAAAAGGTGGTGAAGGACAAGCCTCAAGTTACACATTGCAACATGTAGAAGAAGTGATCTCAGACCACTTCCTCCCAGCACTTGTGAATGGGAATCCACACTGGAGTAAAGCAGCCCACAGCTGCTGTTGCAGCTCCTGTCCTTGACCTGTACCTGGCGAGCCTGGTCCCCACTGGAGCCCAGGGAAGCCACCCACACTGCTAGATATACACAGAAATGCAGAATAACCCTCTGCTCATACAAATAATACAAACAGCCCACACACAAACATACACACAATCCGCACAAATGTAACACAACTAACAATCCACATACATGCACACAACCCCACATGCAGCCTCTCACATGCAATACTCAAAACAGCCCCTCAAATACCCACACTACCATACCCACACTACCAAACACACAATGGGACATATCCATCTACACACACACACACACACAATTCCACAAGCATCCCCCATACATAGGTGTCATACACAATACCAGAAACTACTTGAGAACATATACAATATAATAGCTCATATACGCACAAATACAACAATATAAAGCAACTGCAGTATAAATACTACAAGCAGAATACGGCAACATACACACCTCAATTTAAAAATAAAAAAAATAGGACCAGCACGCTACGGCACATCACAATCTTATTTCGGCACAGTGCTGCTAAAATGTTGCCTAACCCTGCTCTAAGCCATTCACAATCGCCACTGCCCGAGCTTTCCACTATTTAAGATTTCATAAAGTGGAATGACAGAGAGCAGACTTTGGGGATACCTTTCGTTAACATTTTAACCCTTAAAGGTGAGCCGGCGCCAGGGACCTCCTGATACTGTAACAATTTCATTTTGCTGACGTTGTTGTGATGCCGGTGTGTTTCTTTAATGGGTAGGATACCTCCGTAAGATACTACTACTACTACTACTGAGTTTACCTTTCATGTGAGTAGACAGGGCAGTTCCTCGTTGTAAAGACACAGCTGCACAAAGGGCCATGAGAGCATAAACTCCCAAAAAGACCAGATTCAGCCACCAGATGATCTGCCAGGAAGAGGTGTGATCCAATAAATAAATAAAAAAGGTTTGGTTCATGAGACTGAAATATGTTTAATAGAGAGTGAGCGCTTACTCACCGGGTTCCCCAATAAATAAATACGGAAATCTGTTTCATTCACACCAGAAAATCGGAGACCCTGTACAAAGTGATGTAAAACAAAGTGTCACAATTATCTAAATACATCCTGTTATTAACACACGCATTCCATGTGAGCATGAGCAATATCTCAAGTACATCCTACATATGGTATATTGTCATTGTCCCTGTGCCACTGTAATAACTGAATTTATACTGCTTTCAGCAGCCTATTCCCGATTTGTTTAATGTATAACTTGAGGGAGGGGGTGGAGTTACCAGTGCCCTGAGCAAATGTGCTTTGCAGGAGCTCCATGACAATACTTATGAAAGTACCTTTTTTTTTCAACCTGATTTCCACACTACGACCCACAGGCTGCCTACACAGGGGAACATATGAAGAAACACAAATTCTCTCATTCAGCACTATTCCGAGATATTGGCACTCCGGAGGCCCAAGACGCCACCTGCAGGTATTACTCTTTTAAGAGTTTGGTAATAAACTAAATAAACTCCACACGTTTCTTCATAAATCATGTGGAAAAATGGGTTTCACAGTGCAGGTAAAAAGGGAAGCAGCTATAGGAATAAAATCCAGACCATATAACACTATAATATGAGAATAAAATAATATGATCACTGATCCGCTTACCTGAAAGTTGATAGGCCAGTGCCACGGCTTAGAGGTTACCTCGTGTTCTTTGGGTTTCAGTCCACTGTTTGCCTATAGAAGAAGTGTAGGCATATTAATCAACTAAATATGGTTTCCCACAAAGAACTAAAAGCAGACAAAAACTCATCATTCACAAGTGTCCTTACCCGGACCATCACAATATGGGACTCCAAGAGGATTTCCAGGAAAGAGGGCTTTAGGATAGAAACACTGATATTCGGTACTAAAGGGATATAAAATGAGCAGAATAAAGACCGTGTATGCGCCTAAAGGAGTCTGTTACAGCTTCGTCTTATTGAAGTGGTTATAGTATCTGGAGTCCCTTGGCACTGTCTTTCCATTCAGCGTTAAACCACTTGTAATGATGTAATGCAATCATGCTAGAGTAATCAGCTAATGCTTTAAGCCAACCAGTAACTCCCCATTCATAAAAAAGGTACCTGTTCAGTTAGTGTTACTGTCACTTTGAGAAATAAGCCAAAGATCAGTACGACCCAGGTAACAATTATTTTTTGCTCAGTTCTAGTGTATATGTATCTGTTTAAGAGGTCAGACAGTGGCGGGGTGGGGAGGAGAATTAGATGAAAAAGAATATGTAAATAATGTTTTCTAGAACGGTTTGCATTTTTATCACAATGTAGTTTATCCAATAGAGTCATGAGTATCTAGAGAACTGATTGTATTTATGATGCATCAAGAGAAGGGTCCAGAGTATTTCTTACATCGTGGATTTTCATGATCCTCAACATTCCACTGAGTGCTTGGAGACTCTCGAAGATATGGGCTGCACGTGACCTCCCCCTGCTCCCAGCCCCTGTACAGGAAGATCAATAAACAGGATTCTCAGAGCCAGTTTTGGGAACAGAAGAAAAAAAAAAAAAAAAAAGGGGGGAAGAAAAGCGCCATTTAGAGATGCTTAATAAATATATTATTATACCTTTTAATACACTGTTACAGCTTACCTTGGCAAAGCATGTAAACCATTTAACAATCTGGCAACCAAATTAAAACAATCTGCAAATCTCCCAATATTAAAGTCATACATAAAAAAATATATTTAAAATAAAAGTTTAAGTGTGAAATTTAGGAGTAGTTGATTATAGACACATGTATATATTATTCAATGTCACAATTAGATAAGTGTACATAACGACAGATAGGGGCAAGAGATCACTGATATTTGGATAGCCACTGCCTCACTGAGGTTCCGCTGGAGAGTGGAGCAAACACTCCAAGCACCATGACCACTTCAGAGCTTAACCCCTCTGCAGTCAAGGGGTATCACCACCTTCGGCAGCATCATTGGGGCATCATTAGCCCATCCAGAACAAGAGTTCAGGGCTTGGTAAGATTAGTTCTGTGCATACTGGACATCTGAGCATTCTGGAAGCAGGCGTCCAATGGAAGTATCGCATGCCCCCATACACTGCCCCTACATCACTCAGCCTTCAGCAAAGGAGTGTGACGTCAACAAAGGAGTATGGGGCGGAGCTGAGAACTGGCCTTGATGATAAAAATGGAGGAATGTTTTAGCTTGAGGATTTTTTTTAAAGATTTGGGGGGTCTGGGGACTGGGATAGGAAGGATTACTCTAACCAAAGAAAGTGTTGGTTTTGTGGTTGGTTGAAGTAACCCTTTAAGAACCATGAAAGCTGTAGGGCATCTACCACTGGCTGGTCAAAAAAGATACAAACAATTATTTTATGAAGTAGAATCATAAATAGCAAATACTTACAAAAACGTTGGCACCTGTGCAAACATATTGCCAATAAATATCAAACTACCCGATACAATTCATACCATGGGTCAATAAAAGGTAAGATTTCAAGGTAGAGCAAGAAATGGGTCGCAAGAGTATTCTGAGGACGGACAGCAGCTAAAATAGCCTGCCCTTCGGTGGGTCCCCGCTCAGAACTCAAGCTGGTTTTAGCTCAACTTGTGCCATTACAGAGAGAACATATCTGAAGCATATCAGACTGGTCCCACCCATACGGGCGATGATTTCAAGGTAGTTCAGCAATAGAAAAGGCAAAAAAAAAATCCAAAGTGCCAAGAAAGGTGCCACGTTAGACAAAGGTTATGGTGCTGGGAGGAAAGTTTGCATAATTGTTGTGCACACTAAACACAGCAATTTAATTAAACGGATGGCATAAACCACAAATAATGAATGTGTTCAGATTCCCAAAATAGATTTTTTAAATCACTCCGTCATAACAAATATTTGTGGTTTCAAAGTTTACTTTTAAGTTGTTTCAATAATTTGCTGACACACTTCTCTTCTGCTGAAAAGTAATATTTGTAGCTTTGCAAATTCAGCAGAAAACAGAAAATTAAATGAGAATCAAAATATCCACAGAAAGGGGACCTCGGTATGTATAATTTAATATCACTTATGAATCATTTTAACAACTTGACATAGAGGGCCTTTTTATTTATTGCATTTAGTATGGAATGGTGGCTGATGTTACGCTCACTGTACACATTCTTTGGATCAGTCAATCACATGGCAGCCATTGAACGCATAAAAGCATGTAGACATGAAGGAGGCGGGGCCTGAGAGCCAACCGGGTAGGTCGCACATGGCTGGAGCTCCTCAGCTTTAGCCCACAATACTGCTAATACACCAGCAAAGTAACTCTAAATTTCGCCGATACTCACCAAGATGGCCAACATTGTGTGGAGTACCCAGTCACATACAAGCTTAATGCTGCCTGTTCAAGTGGATCCGCTCAAGCTGGCATTCGAACGTCTGTGCAACAGGTTCTGGGACAGGCTAAGCAAAAGAGCAGTAACACTCGAGGGCCTGAGCATATCACCCCAGCTCACGGTGCTGAACAGCCGGGATACAGCAGAATCCCCATGACCACTGTGATAAGGTGAATGGGGTGGTCTGTGAGGGAGTCTATATCTCGACAGAATTGTTCAGAGAGGCATATGATTTTTAACCCCAGGGGGAGTGTATGTTTCTGTGTATGTAACCAGAATGACTGTTTAGTTATGGGCCCCTGGGGTGGAGCATTTGGAGAGCAGGGTGGGCCAGTGCTCCACTCCGCAGTTTAGCGGTTTTCTTGGAAGACATAGATCCAGCCCAGGGTTTTGGACTGTCTCCAACCTACTGCTCAGCTGCAGGTAATCGGCTGCAGCAGTGGGAATAAATCCCTCCCTGCTAGGCAGGTAGGGAGAGAATGTTTTGTTTCTCTCTGAAAGGCTGGAAGCAGCAGGCTGGCTAAATACTGGAGTGCTGAGAGTGGACAAAGACTCTAGGTTGGTGAAACCACTATTGTTTTGTTTAGTTTAACCCTGAGAGATAGGGAACCTAATGTCAGTTAGTGCTCAGACGAGCTAGGTTTTTGTTTATAAGGTTTTGTGTTACATTTATGTTTTCATTTACTGCTGTATCCTGTGTGGATTTACAAATAAAGTGCCTGGAGTAAATGCAATTACAAGGACTGTGCCTATTGTTTACCCTAGAGGACCGTGCTACCTGCAAACAAGGATCACACCACCCAAAAGCACAGCACGAGCAGGGAAGCGGCGGAGGCTGGCTAAACGGTGCAGTAAACCAACCGGCAGACCCCATCATCGCGCCCTCACTCTGCGCCCCAGAGGGGGCTATATCTGCACACGCACCCCTAGCACCCAGAAGGCTCCCAAGCAGCAGAGTCGAAAGCGGGCTACAAGCTTGACTACAAACACTGTTCCTGATGGCAAGATTCATGGAGACACAGCACAGATCTCTATCTGCGATCAAGGCAGGCGGAGAGCCCCTCCATGGCCCATCGGACAGTCTTACCCCTCTACAAGTAGCCATCCAGCCACAGGAATCGGCTGAGAAGCAATATGAACGGTCCACATATTCAATGCAGCTCAAATTTTAGTAGTGCAGCTGTGAGTCTCTAGGCCTGTAGCCTACTCATACTTCTACAGTTAGTGCAGTTCATAACCAGTAGCACACCATGTATTTTCACAAGCATGAATTGTAATCTTATCGCTGGGTAACCATTAAAGCGAGATAACTGGGTGTTCATTCACACCCATTGCTAATGTTCACATTGTCTAGAATATCTTCTAAGATTGTATATTTAGCTGCAGCCATACACTTAGACATGTGAGTCTAACCTGATCTTCATTTTAAAATTGTGCAGCATAATCTAAATGTCAAAAACGTAACATCACCCAATGTTCATGAGAATATATGTTTTGCTTCCCTATGTTGAATGACCCTCCTATGTTGCTGTTGCAGCAATGAATGTTCCTGTGTATACCTATGCACAACAAAAATAAAGAATATAAAAAAAAAAAAAAATAATAATAATTTAAAAAAAACAAGCATGATGTAGACAGTCAAAAAGTTAAATTTTTGTTCAAAGCTAAATATCAGAATTAAAAAAATAAAATAAAAAAAAAAGTGTAATCTAAATGACTGATTGTGGGGTAAAGGTCTGTGCCAGATGTGCTATTATCAGTAAACTGTTGATCTTGAAATTTGTGTTAAAGCAATATTGTATTATCTCTGAATCAGTCAACAGGCAGCAATGCTTATAGCAACTCCCTATTGGTAAAGGTTGAGAATGGCTCCAATGTCAGGTCTCAACATAGATTGTCTCCACTGAACAACAATGAACCACAACTGTCCCGTGTGGGGTAGTGATGAAAAAGGGTCTTACCGGGAGGGCGGAGCCTGACCACGAGCGGGAGCGGACGCAACACAGCACAGCTCCCGACCAAAACCCGCATCAAAGCCTGCTGTTTGAGGCTTAAAACCCTCAACTGACCCACTCCCGACCAGGGGCACCATTTGTACACAGCCCAGCATCCCCCCATGCCGTTTGTATATCCGGCACGGGTGAACCGACGAAAGCGCAGACCCGCGGCCTACAAGCCCGCAGGAGCCCTCGACTGGTCGGCGCTCCTGGGCAGACTTGAACAACCAGGGGACCCAGACGTGGAAGACCTCCCCACAGCACTCCCAACCACCCAGGTAGCAATGGGCCGCCGGTCCCAAAAACCTTCACCGGAGACGCCATCCAGGGACATGGGTACCATGCTGCAACAACAACGGCCGCCGGCCAAAATGGCGGGAACAGCGGAACATGATACCATACAGGTACCAAAAGACCCTATACTGCCTGACCTGTCGCCAGAAAGGCCACAAACGCCCATGGGGATTCCAGATGGGTCTGCCCCAGTCACCCAGCGGGACTTTCAACACCTAATTGGGGAAATCAAAAACCTCTTGGCAACCAGCATAGCAGCCATTAAAACAGATGTGAAGGCTATCGCTGACAGGGTGCAGTCCACGGAGAAGGATGTCTCTGGCATCAAGCTGGGATTAGCAACCTTACAGGACTCTGTACTGGCCCTACAGGCCCAACAACAAGCACTTTCTCTCCACTATATTGCCCTCGATGACAGGACAAGACGAAACCACATTAAGATCAGGGGAGTGCCAGACGCCATCACATCAGATGAATTGCCTCACTATTTGAGGCGCCTCGTGGCCGCCATCCTGCCGCCAACGCATGCTAAAAAATTTAACACAGACGGGATGTACCGCCTACCACCCTCAGGCAGAACAACCCCAAACATGGTCAGAGATGTGATTGTACGCTGTGCCACTTCCCAAGACAAGAGAGTCCTGATGACGGCTCTTCGGGGCAAGACGCCACTAAACTTTGAGGGCGCACGGCTCACCATTTACCAAGACCTCACCAGATCCACGCTTCAATGGCGAAGATCGCTGAACCAAGTCACCAGCACCCTCAGAGAAGCGGGGATAGAATACCACTGGAGATCTCCCAGATTCCTGGTGGTCACACATAACGGAACTGTCTATAAACTCTCCACACTTACAGAGTTCCCGGCATTCTGTCAGGCACTGGGCCTTCCAGCACCCATGCAAGACACCAACCAACGATCCACACCGGAGGCCTGACTCCCCCAAGAGCCGCAGAGGCATCAACAACCAAGACACGCACTGTTCAGCTAAAGACGATGTTTTTTCAGTTAGCCTTGAGCCATACCCAGTTATTTGTTCCCCCATCCAAAAAGAGCGGCCGCATATCCAGTCCCCCCCCCACCGAGGTCCTCTCGGACTAGGGGTTCGTTTTGAAGAAGGCCATAACTCTACAACCCGACAGGGTTGCATGTAAGCCCATCCCTACCATACAGCCTTTCTCCCGGAGCAGTTCACACACTCCTGATACTGTGCCAATGCTGGTCCACACCTTCTGTGACTAACTAATGTTCACACACTGTTGATCACCTTATATTGCAATATATGAATAAGTGTACTGTATGTTTATTGTGTTTCAAGACCCGCATGGGTACGATAAAAAAACAAAACAAATTTCAATAAAAAGAGATTGACAAAAAAAAAAAAAAAAGAAAAAGGGTCTTACCAGTTATACAAATGAGGGTGGGTCTTATCATTTGGGTAAAGGAGGTTGGGTCTTACCATTTGGGCAAAGCTTTTCCAGTTGAACCAAGCAAACAGCCTGTTAATAAGTGCTGGAGTCGAATCTGGCTGCGTAGAACCTTCACTTTGTCGCTGCCTCCAATCGCCTCAATTCTCCAGTAGTCATTAGAATCCCCTGTCCCATTCTGTGACAATGAGAATGTAGCATCTAACTGGTCAGGCTCCCCAACAAAATAATATCCCGAGACTGGTAACAAGTCTTTCCCAGAATGCAAATATGTAAATAAGCACAGAACACAAACAGACTTTGTGTCAAGGACAGGTTTTTGATATGTGGGGTCTGCACAACAGTCCATTTGCGTATATAATTAATTAGCATTTTATAATAAGAATATAAATGTGCTAATTGAAAAAAAAAAATTATTCAAATAAAAATGAGAAACATTACTCCAACTATATGACCAAAAAAAGTAGATTAGAATACTTTTATACAAAAAACACAAATAAGCTAGAAAATGATTGCAAAAGACACTTTTCCTATACATCAAATTCAAAGGAATACTCAAAAGCCCTCCCATTATAAGTAGCCAAACAGTTTGCGAATAGTTTAACAACATATCAGGGGGTCGGCCAGGCACCGCTGCAGCACTGAGTTAAGCCCAGCTGTGCATGGATTAGTTCATTGGCTGAGAGCGCCAGCAAGTAATATTATTGTTACCTCATTTATAAGGTGCCAACATATTCCGCAGCGCTGTACAATTGGAAAAAATGACAGTACAAAATACACACAGACCAATACAAAAGATACAGAGGGTCCTTCCCTAAACCTGGTGAAATAACCAGCTCATTCTATGAACTTTAGTTGATCAGCAAGATATTTAATGTTATCTTTTATAACCCCTGTAAATATTCCTCATTTTATACACCATCTCAGCACTGAAAACCAATATTTTACACCCTGGTACAGAATAGTAAGAGTTTTCATTCCATCATAGTCACTGGCATTACTGAGTTTTTAAGCAATGGTTAGAAATTAAATGAGACAGTTTCAACTAACTGAAGGCAACAATGCAGTATCATTGGAAAGCAAATGTTCTTTTTTCTGAATATTTGGAACAGTATCGCTATACATATCATGTTAAAAAATGTTTCATTTATTCTGTAAAACAAACACACTTCATATAATGGAGTTACAACTGTAACTTGTTTTACTCCTCCCACACCGCCCGGGACTCTTACCGTTCCATACGCAGACACCTGCAGATGTTTTTTGCTGAGTGGTGCCTCCCGCTGGTGGCTGTGTAGGTTCCGCCTGGTCCTAAGATACAGTAATGGCATGAAGTGTTCATTAATGCATGAGAAAAAAAGAAACAGGCAATAGTAAACCAAGTGGAGAACACAGAGATGGGATGATAACCTGAATTGGTTTGGGATAAAAGGATAAATAATCAAAAAATAGCTTAGACTGTATCCCAGGAAAGAGGAAGATGGCTGCCTGTACCACTAGAAGACAAACATCTTAACATAACTGGTGAGTACCCCAATGAGAAACAGGTGAGAGGTTGTACCTTGATCCACAGTCCATTTTAGGCAGAAACAGGAATAAATTGTTCAAAAACATAGCAAATTGGCAATAATCAGACATTATTAAGGCATTTAGATAAAAGGCATGTCTTAAACACATGGTTAATGATAATGTCACCATAAGGGATCTATATTGGGAATTGAAGGGCTCGAGAACCATTTATTCGAGTGACTAACAACACATCAAAATAAATGATAGGAGAAGCACAATTCTGCAGTGCAATTCTTGCAATGTTAATTTATATATTTAATGTTTCAGCTTATTCTTTGGTCTGGATTTTCCACAATAAGCTTCACAAAAATAAATCTATTTGTTGTTAGTCACCTGACAGACACGAGAAGCTATCCCTGACAAAAACTCACTCTCTGTGTTCCAGGCGGATGATGTCACCATGGCGCACAAACTCTACTGGCGCTGCTGGATCTGAAAAGAATATTAGAAGACAGATCATTGTACAATCCACTGACTGCTATAAATCTTACTGAACTAAATAACAGCGTTAAGTCACTGAAACAGATAAAACGTACCATAATCCTGATCATGTCGCTTTATGATCCACAGATTGTTGTGGTCTTTATGTGAATATGTAGTTACCTGGAAAACGTGTAGAAGCAATTAAAACACATATAAACCGCCAGACAGTCACATTATGAAAGAATGGGGAGAATTACTGACTTGTTGCTGGCGTGCCCCTACCCCCTCAGGGTACAGATGGCCATGTGAATGCAGATATCCAGCAGCTGTGCGAAGGCTCTTCATTGTGATGACCGAACCATAAGCCAGATCTGTTGAAGGCATGCTTGTCAAATCAAATCCCTCTTTGCAATGTTGATTATTCAGTAACATTCTATTATTCACATCTTGTGCAACTGTCACTTAGCAAGGACCTTTAATCACAAGCAAACCGATTAACCCTTTAGCACAAGGTAAGTTGCCAATTTTTTTTTTTTTTTTTTTTTTTACAAAAATTACCACCAGAGGTCTGGTTTCACATTGTGAGATGTAACATGTAAATTATTTAGAAAAATCCAGTATGCACAAATACTACATAAAAACAACTTATTTGTGTAAAGTAAGTTTCAATGTAAAAAACATTTAAAATAATTTCCCTAAAGTAATTTGTAATTCCAGCTAACCAAAATATCCAAAATGTTGCTACAATTATCAATTCAAGACCTGTCAGAGAGTCAACAGCCATATCGGAACTGTATTGCAAGATTTAAAGATCCAGAGAGAGATAGTTAGAAAAGAAAATGCCTGTAGCCAATCCTAAAATTGTATCAACTAAAGTTAAATAAATATTCTGACACTTTGTACAACCTGAACAGTAGTGATTGGCTGAGAGTGCTGGGTTATCTGTATGCAAGGAGTGATTTATACTACAGGTGCCTCTAGGCAAAGATATCTTTGGTGCTCCCAAACTCCCCACTCTTTTACTCTAACCTTCTCCCCCCAACAAAAAACCCTTATTTATAGAAGATGAGAAAATATTGTACACACACATACATACATATAGAGGGTGTGAATGGGTCTGTGTGAGTGCATATATCTGTGTGTATGTATTTGTCTGTGTAATAGTGTGTGTAACAGTATTGATGTGAGTAGCAGCAGGTCTAGCAGTGAGTGTAGTACTGTATTATTATTATGATGATGATATTTATAGAGCACCGTCAAATTCCGCAGCGCTTTACAATGGGTGGACGAACAGACATGTAGTTGTAACCAGACAAGTTGGACACACAGGAATAGAGGGGTTGAGGGCTGTGCTCAATGAGCTTACATGCTAGAGGAAGTGGGGTAAAATGACACAAAAAGGTAAGGATAGTATTAGACTAGTGACAGTTGCAGAAGAGGAATCAGTCAGGAGCTATAGCTGTGTATGTAATAGTGTGGGTAGTAGTGTATACTATAAGGACCTGTGGGAGGCTCTATATGAGGTGGCCACTGTCGCCCTAACTTCTCCATCCTTTATGCTAGAGATCATAGTTTTAAAAGGGACACCCCAGACCCCTAAAGCACTTAAGCTAGCTGAAGTGCTTTATGTGTAAATAGTGTGTCTTTTTTATTTTACAATAAATAAATGAATCGTGTTAAACCCCACTGGCTGACAGATAGCCTACCCTGCTACTTCCTAGTTGTTTAGCTCAAGAGGCAGCCAACTGCTCAGAAAAACTGCTTTGCAAAGACTTCTCACTTAACTGCATTGGGAAGTCCGATTGGACAGCCACATAACATCTAGGCTGGGTAAGAGGAGGAGGGCTTGCAAAGGTTTCAGACAAGAGATTTGCAGCTTTTGCAAGTTAATTTTAGATCTACCCCAATTAACAAAAATGCATATTAAAATGCATGCATGTTTTAATTTGGGGTATATCTTCTAAATAATGATTTTTACTTTTTTGTATTTAGTCAGTCGAGTGTCCCTTTAAGTCTGAGGGGGCAGGGCCATGCAGAGTTTCCTGCAGACTTAATATAGTGCTCACAGAGTCCTTCAAAGTGGGTATTTACTGTCTGGGAAGACAGCAAAGCACAGAATGTAACAGGAAGTGTAGGTACCTATTCTGCTTAATGTGAAACCCTGGCCTGTGCGTATTACGACTAGATTGGACAAAAGTGACATTGATCATGAGGATAATATTAACAAACTTTTATTGAAATTCTTGTGAAATGTGGAGTTATTTTTTATTTTACTTCCTACACTTACATTCCTCACAATTCATTGTAAACACATAACATCTAGCATGGAAGCTGGACAACAGCAGAAGCCTTAGAGACAAACAAAATAAGTATAACGGTTTTATAAAACTTTTTTCTGAGTTGAAATCAGATTTAAATTTCTCTCCTACACAGAATGATATAATGGAATGTGTGTTGGTAGCTCTCATATGAACAACTGCTAGAGAATGAGTTGAAGTAACACTTATGTCACCTATAAAACTTTAATCTATTAGTATTTGATCTCATTTATATGCTGTATGTTTTGCAAGTTCCAATATAGATTTTGCAAAAAAATAAATACTTTGCAGAATGCTGCACCAGAATCCGCTCTTTAGCCACAACACCTCATGCCAGAAAGACTTCCTTATGAAATGTATGTACACAGTGCAGCCCCCTAATAGCACTGAGTGAACGGTTTTATTCACAACCCTGCTGCAAATAGTTACAGAAACTACACACGGGTAGTGATATCCTTACTGTCTGTGTCTCTTGGTGACCTCTCCTTCTAATGCAAGTTGCTTTATAGTTCATATCACTCATTGTTGTTAATGGCTGAGCTATGTACATAGAATTGCAAAGGAAATACCTTCTGGAGTGATAGGGCATATTGTGGAATGACATTATGCAAGATATTTTATGTGCACAAAACTATAACAATTTGAGCATACAATAAAAATACAGAATATTAATAATGCCAAAACCTATCAAATGTATTCAATTTGTATTGGTGCCCAAAGCATTCCTTTAAGCGTATGTTAACACATAAATCCTCCAGAACTCTTGGGAAGACATTAAGCATGACAGAGTTCTCGAACAGGAAACCTATATCCATCATTCAGATATTTAGATTAACCTTTATCAAGACCCTGTTACACTGATCCCATATCATACAAACCCTGATTACAATTCATTTATAGCATGTTACCTCCCACCTACCACAATGCAGAATCAATTATCTACCTTCACACTAGACACAGATCGTGCTGTACACTCTCAAGCCTTGGCACAGACATTGTTAACCCTCTTGACCATGACAATCATCGTCATGCTCCCGCACTATAGTACAGATCCCGTAATTCCTCTACACCTTTTATGCAGATCTTGTTACTACCAAAATCCAGATCACATTCTCTTCATCACCCATTATTAGGAGTCTCTATACTCACGCTCTGGCATAGATGCACTGTGTAAGTTGTTACCAATCAGTCTTGACTGGAAAGCAGAACTGAAAAATCCATCTCCAGGGCCACTACGAGATAGAATAAAAGAAGGAGAATGAGTTCCTAGCAATGGAAATAGTCAAAGTGAAAAGAACATGGTAATATTAATATATTTAAACCTCAGGATTCTAACACAGTACGCGGCCCATGACAGTCACAAATCTACGAATAAAGTCAGTAGCACTGAATAGTTAAACTAGGATACCTTTGATTGAGCACAGTGAAATGTACGGCAAAAAACAGCACATAGAGAGTAAGTGGGAGCAAAATCAGACAAAGAACCCGTGCTGCGAAGTGCTGGAAAATCACCTCCTGTTGAATGAGAAAGACATAATGAGATGCAAAAGAAGCATTCAGAGTCTAGCTTTTCAACCAAATGCTTCATAAAACAGCACAGAATAGCCAAAACTTGTTTCCTCAACATCAGAACTATCAAATAATTTGAAGCTGGTTGTATCCTTGTTGTGTGGTCAGATTTAACTAATTTAAAAATTAGTTGAACACATGTATGAGCAAGAATAAGAATAACCAATTTGACATTCTGAAAAGGTACTTACCAAAGACAGACTGAGGTCTCCCAACATCTTCCAAAGGTCACGGACTGTATTGAGACCAACCAACACTACCACAAAGAGTCCAACAAATTTCACCCCCAGAGCTCCAGCCAAATTTACTCCAGTGAGACTCAGCCACAGCCACCATAGGGAGCTGAAAGGCCTGATAAGAGTATGGGTGAAAGGATGTGAAATATGTTAAACAGGATTTAGAAGGTTAAATCCACATGGTTTAAACTACCAAGGATAGCTTACCTAGAGGAGTGTGAGTGAAATTTGATCATACACAGTACTGCTCCCATGATAAAGAACATCAGGATAGGGTCCAGCAAGATGTACTGGGACAAGGTGAGGCATCCAGTATCTGAGAAAAGACACAGTATACTGAAATAAAGGCCCACACACTATGTACACATATCTCACTCAGAACATTGACCATGACCTCATATACCCCACAAGAAAATGAATCCATTCCTAAACCAAGGAAGATAAGTAATCTGTGATCTGATTAACTATGTAGAACCTCACGTGCAACATAAGCCTATATAGTGTCAGTAGGGGCAGTGTGGCATGAACCCATATATAATCAAGCACAAAGAGCATGACTCACTATGAATTGCCCATGGAGTACTAATAATATGTGGCATGAACATCTATGTCATCCAACACACAAAGCATGGCATTGAATTCCCCAAGGATGACGATGAACCCACTGGACATATATACCTCATACAGCAAAACACCACACACTGTTCTTGTCCTAAGTCTCTAGCCAGAGTTGCCAAAACCACTGAATATTGAATCATACAGCAACTTTGCAGTTATACTGAGAAAATGATCTTTGTGTTTCCTACTACACATTGGTGGTTGATTGCCAGGTAGTGAAATGAAAAACAAGAGTCACACCTGAAAATACCATGGGCCTTCTAAGCCATGTCATGCCTTCAATTAAATGCACTTGTATTTTATTTCTAATGTATTGCGCTGCATGTGTGAATTCATGCTTTATGCATTTTAATATATCCTAATAATTAAAAAAAACTAGTATGTATACTCATGTGAATGCAGACTCTCTGTCAGTTACTGCACTACGGTCACTTTTAAGGTATTGTGTGGAGGTACCATTTACCTTTTAAGGTATTGTGTGGAGGTACCATTTACCGCTCCATCTTATATCCTCCTTCTCCAAAAAAGGTGTCCAGCTTTCAACAACTTATACAAACTATTTTCTGGTCAATACAATATAATTATTTTTGTTTGCTTTTTTGGGGAAAGAGGGCATATTTGCATATGATTTGTCAAACTAGTTTAACAGAGTGTGGATACTAGATGTCTAATTAATATTATTCTGGCCATACAGCAATAGGTATGTTGAGTTTTCTCAACCCCTGCGTATGTCTCTAATTGTAATCCCAACGCATTGCAAGTAAATAGTTGCTGTACCACAGAACTTCAAAAAGAGAACAGAATCCAGCTTACCCAAAATAATCAGGCACGCAGCGAGTGCTGCTGCAGGGAGTGACCTTGATAGTTCCAGGACAATGAGGAAGGCAAATGGAGGAAGCCAAGATCCCAGGAAGGCACAGAACTGTGGTGGGGACAATGTCTGATCAATAACTCGCAATCATTACTGCACTTAGAAAGTATAGCTAAAACAGGACAGGAGCTGGCATATATTACTGCATATGGGTTCTTAGGCCAGCTTAGAAGTTCCAAAAGCCAAGTAGCCATAACACATACAGTTATCTTAGTTACAGACTAGAGGGTAATACTCTGAATACCCTGGTTATTCCTTACATAATCATGATTTCTGGGAGGTTTATATGTAATTATGTTTGTGATATTTTTTTTTTCCTAGTTTAAAAAAATAAATATATATATTTTAAAATGAAGTTACATGACGATGGAGAAGAACACAGTATATTTAGAACTGCGTAGATAGCACAGAGTATGTCAGATACTTAATAACATTCATCCATCTATTGCTCAGCGGGCACTAATATAGACCCTGTTTGCACTAAACCATCTTGCATTCAGCGGACACTCACCCCTCTCATTCCCAAGTAGTTGTGAGTGCCATAACTCTGGCCAGGCCTCAGGAAAGAAAAGGACCCATTGTACCCACTGAGGTGTCCAGCAAATCCAATCAGCATCTGGTGAGATAGGAGACAGTTCATTGTGTTGGTTTCAGCTGCAGTAATTCATGTAGAATAGACATTTTAGGTAAGGTACAAACATTTTGCATCTTAACTAGATATGATCAGGCAATGAATATTTGAAGTTATGTTGGCATCTCCAACACTACGGCAATAATAAACACTAAGGATGCACGACGAGATACGATAAAAATCATCTAAATGTAAAGTGTGTGTCCCAGCAGGGCACTGAATGGCATAATGTCCCAGGACTGGCTATAATAACCTCATGAAAATCAAAGGAATCCAAATTAAAATAAATATATCTATCTTCTTGTTTCATGGAATATATGAGGTTCAGTAGAAAATATCCATGAAAAGTGCTTTTTCTGGTACAAACTATACTCTATATGGCTACATTAATTATGTGTTATGCCAGAAATTCTTTTCCAAAATGAAGAAACATACAAGCATTATTAAATGTTTACAATGGATGTCTGTAGTTAAACACACAGAGAAATGGCCAATGTCCTTTGCCTGATGAACCTAGAGCCCTGTGTGGGTTCATAAGGAATGACAACAATGTTAGCAGTGTAGATGTGTTGAAGCTGGGCTCAGAGTGATGGGAATTACACTTAATAGCACCTTGAAGAGAGGTACCCTCTTACAAAGGGTCTTCTCCTAAGCCTACCCCTCAGTTTTGCTGTAATGATGCAAGATTATAAAATTATGTGTAACCCACTTCAACACAGCCCCAAGTACAACAGAGTACTCAGTACTCTCATAATGCTGGGTATAGTGATAAAACAGACCAGCAGCCATGTTAATGCTGTGCCATTATAGCATTGTTATAATTATGTTTACGTTTACTCTTATAAAGTAAATCAAGAGATTCAGAAAGAAACATGCCAATGAACGACAATTGTGACAAAAAAAAAATAAGTGCATGCTGAATTGTTTTCTAAATGCAGCCTAAATAAGTTGCATCGCAAGGGGCTTACAGGAAATCGTAGTAATAGTTGCTATACAACATAAAGCCAACACTTCCAGGTAACTGGAGGAATCTCAAAATAATCTCACCTTTCCTAATGGAGGGTGAACATCAAAGAAAAATGTTCTGTTTATGTAATAACTTCCCATCTTTCCAAAGTGGGTCTCATCCCAGCTAGAAAAGAAATAAACAAGAGTCAATGTTAATATTAACAAACCCGAAAGAACTTTGGAACAGTGGGTATATTTACTAAACCCCGGTTTCTCACATATTAAGAGCGGAACGGCAGAACATAGGCTAAATTCTGTTTGACACAATTAAAAAACAAAGTGTATGCTGATTGTCACATTCCAACAAAAGCCATCATCAGAAAAAGTAGGATACTTTGTCTGATAATTCCCAGATTTTACTATTAACATGACGTAAAGTCATGATTTTATTAAAGACACGGAGGCGAGTATTATGCATTTCTCTTTCTTTATTACTCTCAGCAGCAAAGAACAGAGATGAATAAATAACTGAAATGAACAAAAAAAAAAAAAAAATATACAATGCTCAAGCAACCAATCACATAACACAGGAAGTGACTATAACATGCTTGATGCACCCACAATCCCCCTCTTTCTTGTGGATAACGAAGACCAGCATGTAGAAAACTACATTATGGAAAAACACGAGAATTCAGGCTAGGAGGAGACATAGAAAATACATGGTAATATCCGGGTTCCAAACTGTTTGCGTATAATGACAATCAATTAATCCATTTAAGTCAAGTCCATCTCTTAACCTCTTAAACATTCAAATACTCAAAACGATAGTATAAACATAGTTCATCAACACATATAATGTCAGATAATGAAATATATGAAAACTTCAAATAGAGAACTTACCAGATCTAGCAATCATATCGACTTATTTCCAACCACAACTGGGTGGGTGGGTGTGAATAATACTCGCCTCCGTGTCTTTAATAAAATCATGACTTTACCTCATGTTAATAGTAAAATCTGGGAATTTTATTAAAGACACGGAGGCTCCTATTATGCAAGTTTAAAGCTCAGAAACCACCTGAGATGCAAAATGATCAATCGGCCAGAAACAAAAAAGTCTTGAAAAGTCGATTCCCGTGACCAGTCTGCCGCATGTAGAATATACCCCACGGACTGAATGGGGGGTGAATATGGACGTGTCGATCCCAGCTAATGTCAATACCTCTCGTACCCACCTTGCCAGTGAAGGGGTAGATACAGGAAGGTGTGGGGCGCGATACAAAATAAATAATGGGCACAAATCCGGAGAGCGTAACGTTCGAGTAGCCTCCAGGTAGGTTTTTATGGCACTCTACCGGACAGAGTGTAGGATTAGTCTGGAACCTAGGGTAAACGAACACTTTTGAAGCCGACTTAGTCCTTCTGGAAATGTTAAAGGAGATGCCTTCTGGTGTGAACGTAATGGCATTCCAGTCAAGTGTTCGAACATCCAAAACCCTCTTACAAGAGATCAGACATAACAGCATGACCACCTTAGCGATATTTGTTTCAATGTCAGATCTTGATTTGGGTACCAAGATGATAAAAACTGTAAGACTACATTCACGTCCCAAAAGGCAGTGAACCTAGCACAGGGTGGTCTAGCGAGACGCATCCCTTTGAGTAGTCGGCATACGAAAGGATGACGCCCCACAGGCGATCCATCCAAACCCTGATGTCCAGCAGAGATAGCCGATCGACATAGATTAATGGTGCGGTAAGCTTTCCCAGATTCAAACATCTCAGTAAGGAATTCCATGATCATATGCAGAGGGGCAGATACGGGATCCACTGTCCGTCCTATGCACCAACTAGACCAGATTCGCCAGGTGGATCGGTAAGCCACTCTAGTACCTGGTGCCCATGCATTGTCAAGGAAGTCGAGAGTTAACTGCGGAACTCCCGCGCTGGTCCAGGGTCCCCGCCATAAGATGTAGAAGGCCGCGATCCACTAACTCGTGCGAGTTGGCATCCGGATCCCTCAGGAGATTCTGGAAGGTTGGTATCAGTCGTGGATAATCTGCTGTCAGTTCCAGTAACCGAGGGAACCATGGCCGTGACCGCCACAGAGGTGCGATCAACACCATTGAGCAGCCGTGTCGAGTCAGTTTCAAAAGCGTGCAAGCTATCAGATTGAGCAGTGGAAAAGCGTATAATCGAGCATTCGGCCACTCTTGAAGGAATGCAGCTGTCGCCACTGCTGTGGGTCTGGCCTCCAACTGAAGAATTTGGGCACCTGTGTGTTGAGAGGGGATGCGAAGAGGTCCATCTGGAATGGGCCCCATACCCGATCCAATCCCTTGAACGCCGCAGCATGTAAGTGCCAGTCTCCAGAGTCTCTTAAGTAGCGTGAATTCCAATCGGCCATCAAATTGTCTAGGCCGTCAAATTGTTCTGCTTGTACAGAAATGTTTTTATGAAGGCAGAACTGCCAGAAGTCTTTCGCCATGAGAGCTAACATGCGCAATTTCGTGCCTCCTAAGCGGTTGATGTAACACACCGCCGACACGTTGTCCATCCTGAACATCAAGCAACAATTCGCACGTTCGGGTGTCAGGCTGCGAACTGCGAATGCTCCTGCCAGTAGTTCCAGGCAGTTGATATGGAGTGTCTGCTCTTGGTCCAACCATCGTCCCCCAGTGGACGCGGTGCCACAACGTGCACCCCAGCCGTGCAAGCTGGCATCTGATTCTATCATTACGTCTGGGATGGATCCGAATATGACTCTTCCGTTCCAGTCATCCATGTGAGCCAGCTACCAGGTCAGCTCATCTCTGGACTCTTCATCCAGACTCACTCTCATTTCGTAAGATTGGCCTGCACGCAGGTGAGAGCCCTTCAGTCGCTGTAGGGCCCAATAATGGAGTGGTCCAGGAAATATTGCCTGGATCGAGGCGACCAGAAGGCCGATCACTCTTGCCAGATGGCGGAGAGAGAGATCATCTGCGCGTAACGTTTGCTAGATTTCTTTCTTGATGGCCTCTGGAAGAAACAGGAACTGTCTGAGGGAATCTAGTGTAAACCCCAGGAATTCTATTGACTGAGTGGGGTTCAACACCGACTTTTCCCAACTGATTAGGAAACCCAGGTTCTGGAGTAAAGACGTTGTCCATGTGACATGTAGGTTCAATTGATCTCTTGATTGAGCCATCAGCAGGATGTCGTCCAAATAGATAAGACGTACTCCACGGCTTCGGAGGAAGGACACCACCGGCTTCATGACCTTGGTGAAACACCAAGGGGACGAGGAGAGCCCGAACGGCAAAAATGTACATTTCCACCGTCTTCCTCTCCAAGTGAACTGGAGAAAATCTCTGTGTTCCTCGGTTATGGGAACCGTAAAATAGGCGTCTTTCAGATCCAGTTTGGCCAGCCAGTCGGACTCTTGTAGGAGGTCCCAAAGACAATGGATGCCTTTCATCTGGAAGTGTCGATACTGAGGGGGCGAAGGTTGATGACTGGACACACACCTCCTCCTTTCTTCGGGACCAAAAAGAGGTTGCTCGTAAACCCTGAGTGAGTGAACGGGACCTCTTGGATCGCACCTTTGGTGAAAAGTTCCAGGATCTCCGAGGAGATCAGTTCTTCCTGGTCTCGAGCGAGAGACAGTTCCCTGGGGATAGAAAACTGGACAGGCATGGACACAAAGTCTATATGGTAACCCTTTACCGTTTGGAGAATCCAAGCATCTGTCGTCAGTGCAGCCCACGCCTCTTAAAACTGTGCTAACCTGCCCGCCACCCGCTCTTGAATATAAGGGAAAAAAGGGGTACTCACCATAAGGGCGTCTGCCCGAAGTTGCACCTCTCGGATAGCGGGGGTTCCAGGACCTCCCTCTGGATGGGAAGAAAGGAGCTGTTCTGGGCTCCTGGGAAGTTCTTGAGGGGAAGAAGCAGCCTCTCTGGGCTCAAAACAAACCCCTGAAACCGCGGCCGGGTGGACGGCTCCTGTTGCGCCCAGCCCCTCCAAAAACTCTAGGGGAAAACACACTCTTCAGATTGGCTTGGGCTTTGTCAATGGCAGTGAAAGTCTTCACATATGACCCTAAGTCTTTGACAAAATTGTCGGCCGAGGGACCTGGTTCAGCCATGGTAGCCAGTTTCGGATCAATTTTGAACAGGATAGCTTTCCTGCGTTCGGCAGACACGGCCATATTGGCATTGCCGAGCAGACAAATGGCACGTTGCACCCAGCCAATTACCACATCTAGGTCAAGGTCTAAATCGCCCGAATTGGCGGAGTCTAGCATTTCATAGGCCTTTGACAGTGGACCAAGAGTGTCCATTATTTTGTTCTGACAGCTCCTCAGAGAAAAATCTAGGCCTTTTTTCGGTTTCCAGACCGATTTATTGAGAAATTGTGTGATTTGCCGATTGACTTCGGGTGTCTTGCACGCCGATCCTGGCACTGAGGGTCTAGGGCATTCAGCCCGCAGTTTACTGCGTCCCTCCTTGGAAAGTGGCATGCGCATTCTGTGCACAATATAACGGGCAATATGCTCCGGGGGTTCCCACTCAGCTGAGCGAGGATGACATTTGAATCAAACAAGGGGTTGCCCTGCGGATCCAGAAGCGTTGAGCCACCGCTCACTCCCTGGGGAGCAACACCCTGGGCAGAAATAGCGCCCCCAGTACGGGACGGTACGACAGGGGGAGCTCCCGCCTCCGAGCCGGCCTCATTGTAAAAGGCATATTCCCTCTCCTCGGATTCATCCTCCTCACTCCTGTCGCTCTTTGACCTTTCAACACGGGATCTAGCCCGTTTCCATAATCTGGTTGTTTTTGCCCGACCAGGGGCTCTTTTGCGTGGTGGTAGCGCGCCATCTGTGACCACCTGAGGCGAGTCCGTCTAGGCAGGTATAACCTGCGACATCGAGTGGGAGGAGAGGTGCTTGATCTTCGCGTGGCCTTACGGGGTTCAAGCGAGGTGGGGGTAGAGGAAGGACCCGCTCCCTGTAGGGTAGGGGTAGCCACCTGGGGCAATAAGAGGGATTGCACCAGAGTTTGTGAAAAATGAGGAGGACATTGCCCCCATAGCGGAGGCAAGTGCTCTCTGTAGAGAAGACGCCATGCTGGAGTCCAGCAGGGCTTGGAACTCCTCAGCTACAATTTGCCCCTCAGGGGCTCCCTGAGAAAACTCATCAATGTGGCCCTCAGGCCCATCATGCTTATCCTGCATGGTTGCAGTTACTGAAGAAAAAATATGGGCAGTAAGACAATCTATCTGTAATAAAATGTAAAGAGAAGTATACAGCAGAAAAGGAAAATAGGGTTTAATAACCCACAAGGAACAGTGCAGTAGATGGTAGAAAAAAAGTACAAGTGATACAAATACACATAGAACTATTCATAACATATATATAGCTCATAAGCATGAATAAAACCGAATTAAGATACTAATATATACACCTATGGAGTGGTGTGTCCAGGGAAGGGAGAACAAGTAAGGGTCTGGACGTCGTCCCAGCCGAGAAACGAGGCTGGGAGGATGTAAAATGGCCGCCACACGTGCAGGGAGGTGAGACGGCCAGGAAACCGCTGGGGGATGGAGCACGCGCGCGCAAGAGCTGTGCGGCCCGACCTTCACACGCTTGGGAGCTGCAGCCGAGCTAAGCGGAGGCTCACCAGAGTGTACCCGTTCAGGAACGGGGGGAGGAGGGGTAGGATGGACGGCGGTAACGCCGAGTGCGGTGAAAAGGGGGAGCCAGAGGAGCACACCACAGGGAATAAATACAAATGCCAGTAGCAAGGCTCCTAATAAGCCAGAGAAGCTATAAAAGGAGCAAGCAATTGAAATAAAAGTAATCACAAATGTCATAAAGTACTGCTAAACACAGAGCATGAAAAGTATGTACTTAACTGGTCTGAGAGCAGCAAAGAAAGAGGGGGATTGTGGGTGCATCAAGTATGTTATAGTCACTTCCTGTGTTATGTTATTGGTTGCTTGAGCACTGTATTTTTTTTTGTTCATTTCAGTTATTTATTCATCTCTGTTCTTTGCTGCTGAGAGTAATAAAGAAAGAGATATGCATAATAGGAGCCACCGGGTCTTTAATAAAATCTGCAGTGAGGCTGACAAAACAAAAAACAAGTGGAGCTTCCAGCATCTATTTTTGTAAAACGTTGCTAATAACAGTTGTAGGAATCAAGCGTCTTCCCTTGTCCGGCTTGTGGGAACCTTAATAAATATCAGTGGTTACGCTCATGCAAGCAGAACGGTAGAGCAGTAAGGTGAGCTCCTGAACCCAGAACATGGCAGTATCTGTGAAGGAGACCTTCAGGTGGGTATAACTCCTATCAGTTCCGTCCCCTGCTTCCACATATCAAGTGTCATTACAAAAAATAAAAAGACTCCAAAGATACACTGGTCCCCACACAGGACCCTCAGGTCCCCACACTGGTCCCTACACAGGCCCCCACACTGGTCCCCACTCAGGTCCCCACTCAGGTTCCTCAGGTCCCCACGTTGGCCCCCACACTGGTTCCTCAGGACCCCACGTTGGCCCCCACACTGGTCCCTCAGGTCCCCACGCTGGTCCCTCAGGTCCCCACGCTGGCCCCCACGCAGGCCCCCACACTGGTCCCTCAGGTCCCCACACTGGCCCCCACACTGGTCCCTCAGGCCCCACACTGGTCCCTCAGGCCCCACACTGGTCCCCACACAGGTCCCTCAGGCCCCACACTGGCCCCACACTGGCCCCACACAGGTCCCCACACTGGTCCCTCAGGCCCCACAGGTCCCACACAGGTCCCACACTGGTCCCCACACTGGTCCCCACTGGTCCCCACACTGGTCCCCACACTGGTCCCCACACAGGTCCTGGGCCCCCACACTGGTCCCTCAGGCCCCCACACTGGTCCCTCAGGCCCCACACAGGTCCCCCACACTGGTCCCCACACAGGTCCCCACTGGTCCCCACACTGGTCCCCACACTGGTCCCCACACTGGTCCCCACACACTGGTCCCCACACAGGTCCCCACACAGGTCCCACACAGGTCCCCACAGGTCCCCACACTGGTCCCTCAGGCCCCCACACTGGTCCCTCAGGCCCCCACACAGGCCCCACACTGGTCCCCACACTGGTCCCCACACTGGTCCCCACACTGGTCCCTCAGGCCCCCACACTGGTCCCCCACACAGGCCCCCAGCCCGGGCTGCTTTCTCCCAGGAGCCCCAGGAGAGCTCTTACCACACATGTGGCGGCTGTGACAGACCATAGAAGCGGGAAATGAAGGACAGCGCGGTAACAAGACAGAACCCAGCCCAGGAGCCCGTCACCATCCTCGGCCTGGGTCTGCCTGCCTCGGCGGCCATGATTGTGGAGCCCTGCCCGCAGCATTCCGACCATCACCATGGACACCCCGAGCTGGCCAATCAACGCAGAGACAAGGGAAACCTGTCAATACGGACACCGACTACCGGCCAATCAGCGTCAGGGGGCGGGGAAACCTGTCAATACGGACAACGACTGCCGGCCAATCAGCGTCAGGGGGCGGGGAAACTTGTCAAAACGGACACCAACTGCCGTCCAATCAGCGTCAGGGGGCGGGGAACCTGTCGCCATGGACGCAGATTGAGAACCAATCAGCTGAGGAGGCGGGAAACGTAGTCTCCATGGTGACCGCTCGCTGACCTACCAGAGCAGGGGGCTGGGGGAGCTGTTACTCGGCCAAGATGGCGGCATCCTGTAAGGTATGTGAGGCACGTGAAGAGGTTTGTGTGTTTCTATTGGCTGGTGTGGGAGTCACGTGATAAGTAATGGGCCTGTGCAGTCTATATTAAGCAGTCCTATTGGTCTATGGTTATAATATAGCATTGAAGTACTTATAGTCCTCTAAGAGTCACTGGCAGGGGCTGCATTCATTAAATATAATGAATACAGTGCTGGCATTACACCAAGCACTCCCTCTAATGGACAATTTGTCTTAACATTCTCAGAGTGAAAATTATTAACACCACAAGGAGTATATGTTACCATGATAATAGTGTGACACCGCCTTAAAGGGACATTATAGTCACCAAAACAACTTTAGGTTAATGAAGCAGTTTTGGTGTATAAATCATGCCCCTGCAGTGTCACTGCTCAATTCTCTGCCGTTTAGAAGTTAAATAAGTTTGTTTATACAGCCCTAGTCACGCCTACCTGCGTGTGACTTACATAGCCTTCCTAAACACTTCCTGTAAAGAGACATCTAATGTTTAAACTACCCTGGCTGAGATCGTCATTACTGATAACCTCAGTCAGTCCAAGGGGGCCCATGCGCATGTGTAGCAATTGCCGCTCTGCGCCAATCAGCATTTCCTTATAGAGATGCGTTATATCAGTTCATCTCTATGTGGTGGGGGGGATTCAGTATCTTCATGCAGATTGTGGAGACGTCAGTCCTGCAAAAATTGCAGGAACGCACCCGGAAGGACCTTTAGTGGCTGCTAGAGACAAATGTAAACAATGCCTTTTCCTTTAAAAAAGGCAGTGTTTACTATTGTAAGACTACATGGACCAGAACTGCTACATTAATCTGTGGCAGTGTCCCTTTTATTATTATTATTATATTTATAGAGCGCCGTCAAATTCCGCAGCGCTTTACAATGGGTGGACAAACAGACATGTAGTTGTAACCAGACAAGTTGGACACACAGAAAATAGAGGGGTTGAGGGCCCTGCTCAATGAGCTTACATGCTAGAGGGAGTGGGGTAAAATGACACAAAAGGGTAAGGATAGTATTAGACTAGTGACAGTTGCAGAAGAGAAATCAGTCAGGAGCTATTAACAGTTTAATGGATACGCTTTTATGAAGAAGTGGGTTTTTAACAATTTTTTGAAGGAGTGGAGACTGGGTGAGCATCTAATGAAGGAGGGAAGCAGGACAGGAACTGTGAAGCCCTTGAGAAATATTGAAGGCGAGTATCAGAGGTTAAGCAATAATCTGATGATTAATGTCTGGTAGCAGTAATCAGGGGAATAATGTTCAGTAGAAGTACTGAAGGGTTAATGAAACTGTAGAAGCAACCTGTAGGGTTTATGGTACATAATGAGAATTATGGCAAAAAGACTAATTAGTGGGTTGGGAGAGATGAAATAGTAATTGGAGCTGTAGGAGTATTGAGGCGGTAAGTCATAACATAGTTGTAAGAAAGTTAATTGTTAATTAATGGAAATATAGGAGCAGTGAAGGACTTAATGGAACGGTATTAGCAATTAAGGGGTTAATGGAACTGTAGGATTAGTTAAGTGTTAATGGAATTAACCTTAATGCAATTAAGTTAAAGGACCACTATAGTGCCAGGAAAACAAACTCGTTTTCCTGGCACTATGTAGTCCTTAGGTCCCCCCCATCCTCATGGCCTCCCCTCCCGCTGGGCTGAAGGGGTTAAAACCCCTTCAGCCACTTACCTTTCTCCAGCGCTGGGTTCCCTCGGCTCTGGGGAACTCTCCTCCTGCCAACGTCAGTGCCAAATGCGCATGTGCGGCAAGAGCCACGTGCGCATTCAAACCGCCCATAGGAAAGCATTACTCAATGCTTTCCCATGGACGTCAGTATCTTCTCACTGTGATTTTCACAGTGAGAATCGCGGAAGCGGCCTCTAGTTGCTGTCAGTGAGAGAGCCACTAGAGGCTGGATTAACCCCCAGTGAAACATAGCAGTTTGTCTGAAACTGCTATGTTTACAGCTGCAAGGTTAACACTAGAGGGACCTGGCACCCAGACTACTTCATTGAGCAGAAGTGGTCTGGGTGCCTATAGTGGTCCTAATGAAATCTTTTAAGAGATCTATGGCAATATACGTCAGCACAGAATGCACCTGTCATGGTTGAATATATTTATCACCTGTTATATGTTAGATTTATCTATGTGTTTTTATATATTGTATTTTTTGTAATAATGTATCCTATTGTAACAATGCAATGTTTTGTGGACCCAGGACATACTTGAAAACGAGATAAATCTCAATGTATCCTTCCTGGTAAAATATTTTATAAATAAATACATTCTGGAAAGAATACAGAGATTAACTGAAATGATAAAAATGTTGGTGGTTTTATGAGCCGTTCAGGAACACAGTGAGTTAATGCTTAATGTGTCCCATATGGGGTAACACACAGGGTAAATAAAGTCTGCCTGAGATTTTCTGCTTAGTCAGTCAGATCAGATGATGGGAGGATCTCAGTTTGTGCACTGATTGGTTAATAGTTGGGAGAGACTAGAATACAGAAAGTGTCTTCTTTATGTGTGAAATGGAGTCTACTCACAAGGTAAGTACGCTGGCATCAAGGATGGACAATGTTCTACTCCTTGTATAATGCTTTCAGGTGTGCAAACACTGTATGAAAATGTAACAGATTTTACAATATTTGCTTTTCTTATCACTTTATGCTCTTCTTGTTGTCCCAGCCCCTGTTATTTAGTTATTTTCGTAGTTCCTGCTCCTGGCGAGTCCGGATCGGTAAGTTAATAGTATAATAAATAAAGCAAGCTACTTTCTATTTTATAGAGCTATGAGTGTCGATATGTTAAGGGGGAGCAGCAGATACTAATGTGGTTACGTATTAAAATGACACTGATGTTATCATGGCAACATTTTATCACAATTTTTGATTGCACCAATATTTTCCGTCATCTGCGCCACATTTTTCCTGTTGCGTGTTCTCCTGCACCTCCATCACACCCCTTTTTTTGGCAACATTTTCTGAATGAGTTCCTCATTTTTATTTAAATGTTTTAGAAAATCCTTTAACCCCTTAAGGACCAAGTTTCTGGAATAAAAGGGAATCATGTCACACATGTCATGTGTCCTTAAGGGGTTAAACTGCAGATGCATCCCCCCCCCCCCAAGACTACACTTCCTCTGATGTTTTGCGAGCATTACGTGAGATGTAGTCCACATCTGGAGTGCCAAATTTTGCCTATCCATGCCTACAGCATGTGTTGTCGTAGGGGCAGATACTTTGTGAGTAGGTAATCCGTTATGATGAAATCAACATTCATTATTTTGGCATGTCCACTGCAACGTTTCTCATGTGTTCTAACAATGTGTGTTGCTGTCTGTGCAGCTCTCGCACTGAAGGATATTGAGTATGACCTGCACCCTGTCAGTCTTATCAAGAATGGAGGTGAACAGGTATGTTGCTTGACGTGTCAGACAGCTGTACAGAGGACAAATAGAGTTAGAGGTATGATTGGTGGAGCAGGATTTGAGTATAGAGTCTTTAAAGGGACACTAAAGGCACCAAAATAACTTTAGCTTAAGGAAGCAGTTTTGGTATATAGTTTATACCCCTGCGGTCTAACTGCTCAATTTTCTGCTGTTAATACAGCCTTGGTCACACAGCCTTACTAAACACTTACTGTAAAGAGAAATATTTAAACTTACTTTATTGCACATTCTGTTTAATTTTAGAATTTCTTATCTCATTCATTGTTAATAGCCTTCTAGACCATGCAGGAGGTGTGTCCCTCTCTCTCTTCCCCCTCTCTCTCTTCCCCCTCTCTCTCTTCCCCCTCTCTCTCTTCCCCCTCTCTCTCTTCCCCCTCTCCCTCCCCTTTATCAGTGAGTATCTTGCGTATGGGACGGCAGCATGTGTTCATGATCTTTTGACAGTGTAGGTGTATAAGCTCACAAAACTCTGTGTCTACAGTATTCAGAAGAATACAAGAAAGTGAACCCCATGCAACAAGTACCAGCTCTGCGGATTGATGGATTCACCCTGAATCAATCTGTAAGTCGGCTGCTGACCATTTACAATTTTCAAAGATTGATCTGTTAAGAAACCTGCCCGATATCAGTGACTCAATACTTAAAAACAATACATGGCTTGATTTATTTTAAAAGTGATAGTCACTAGAGATGTCTAGATCTACTTGTTGAAAGAGACAATGGATAGACAATGCAAGGCTTGTTATTAATAAACAATTAAGTAAAAGTCCTGTGAGAACCCATTAATAGGATGTTTGAGTATGATCTAGTTTCCAGTTAACGGATTGGGGGATTTTTGCTGTAATTGAGTAACATAGTGTTGACATAGAGCTAGTCGATTCAGGATTTTCTTTAAATATCGCATGTGGTAGTAATACCATCTCACAGGTGAGTAAGTTGTACAGTCATAGACATGATTCCATTCTCAGAATGTTTTTGGATTCCTTGTGTGGTAATTACATTGTTTTGAATATTGTTCATTCCGTGCTACTGTTTATATCCTCTCTTTCTCCGTCACAAAGCTGGCGATTATTGAGTACTTGGATGAGACCAGACCAAATCCCCCTCTATTTCCAAAAGATCCAAAGAGGAGAGCACAGGTCCGAATGATCAGCGACCATATAACCGCTGGGATTCAACCTCTGCAGGTATGAATTCAGCACACACAACACATTCTGACTTTACAACGACAAACAAAACTCATGCTTTGTAGACCATCAAATCCTGCACATGCTCACATTACAAGGTGACCTCAAGACCACACTGATTAAAGAAATGCTCCAACACCATAACCACTACAACTTGCTGCAGTGGTTATAGTGCCAAGAATGACCTGTACCCACCTCCCATTGTAAGAATTCAAACATCTTAGCCGAAGTCTGCCAGCCGCCGCTTTCGCCTTCACTACTTCCTGTGGGGAGCTGAAAGTTATTGGGGGCTTAGCTTGGTGACAAGAGCTTATTTTTTGTTTGTTTTTTCCTTCGGTCGGGTCTGCCCCTCTTACAGTGTTCACAATAATGTAAATTGTTGGGAATTCAACGCAAATTTTAATTGTTTAAAAAAATGTATATAATTTTTTTTAACAATAGCCACATTTCAAGTCGGCTGGAATTTCAGTTTGTGCTATACTTTGAAACTGCTTTTGAATGAGCTACAGTACACTAGGCCTGTCGGTGTCATCTGATAAATTTGAATATGTACTGTGACATATTCTATATCCCTTCAGAATCTGTACGTTCTTGAGAAGATAGGAGACACCAAGCTTGAGTGGGCACAGCACTTCATTATCCGTGGCTTTCAAGGTGAGTGTAAGAGAAGGAAGAGCAGTCATGTTTGAAATATGCTGTATTTGAATCCAGCATATATAAACTAAGATAAGCGTGCTATTTATATTGTCTATTGCCACATATCTTCCAATTAATACATTTACTACCAGACAGGTTTTAGTTTTACAGATGGCATCTAATCCAAAACTTCAAGTGTTTTTAGGATTTAATTGAGAAATGTTAAGGAACTTAATCTCTAGGATCAGTATGTAAATGTCAGACAAAACAAGCCCAGCAAAGTTCTTCTTGTTTTTGTACATATATTTATATATAAAAATCTCAGACCACATTTTGTTGGAGATGTGCAGTTACTGATAGTTGAGGAAAAACTCATCACCAATTATCAATAGCATTTTCCTGCCTGTCTGGTTCAGACATGTTATTTGTGATGTCTAGGGACCCTGTCTCGGCCTGTCTTTTACCTCCTAGTATTTTTTTATTTTTTTTCCTTTTTACCCCAGCCCTGGAGAAGATGCTGCAAGACTCTGCAGGACAGTATTGTGTAGGAGATCAGGTTTGTGTCTGACACCAATGCTATACATTTCCTTAATCCTCTCATTCATACTATGCTAGATTAGACAGCTATTTATTATGTCACTATTTTACCAAGAACTGAGAAACTTCATAATGAAATGTATTTACTAAAATTACAAATGTTAAACTGTAGTCCAAAAAGCAAGGGAAAAAAGTCATAGCTAATCTGGAACAATTCTCCAACTTGGCTCCAGTAAACAGACCGCTGTAGTAGAATTTGATATTTTCTAAAGGTGAATACCTTGGCACCAGTACTGTGTATAGAAATGCTCATTTGTTTTCAGATAATTGTAGAGCAAAGTATGAAAACATTACATTGCACGTGTTGGTAGATAGGGGCCCTCACATTTTGGGTTTCTTTTTAAAAAAAAATTTGTTTACTAAAGTGAGAACTCAAAGTGAATTTTAAACTCAAGGTTAAAATAGTTGAGCTGTTCTCCGTGTTGGCTATTCTTTCAGTTTGGCTACTCTAGTCTTATATTTCAGTAAATAACCCTGTAAGTCTGAAGGACAATACCCAAATTTCTCTCGCCACTTGAAAGTACACTACAGAGTGGTTGAATGTTACATATACATCCCAAAGCAGGTTTGCCTCCTTTGCTGGTAAAATTCATTGGAAATTAGAGAAGTTCGAGTTGGTTAGCTAATGTTAGTTTTGACTAAAATTTACTTTTCCTCAGTAAAAAAAAGTTTACAAATGTTACAGAAACAAAAAAAATACTTCCATAAATGTTAAAGGGGAAACTACATTTTTCTTGGCATAGCTCCATAGTGCTCCCTGCTGTCGCTTACCTCATTCCAGCGCTTATGTCCCTAGGTGCTGGTTCAGGCTCCACCTCCACTCGTCAGCCGGCAGGGGAGACCTAAAGTGCAGTGATGGTCATACTCTCATTAATACTTCCCTCATAGGAAATCATTGTATAGTGTGAGAATGACCAGCGTCAGTTAGGCAACCAAAAGTCTAATAACACAGAAGTCCCTCTAGGGGCTGTCGGATAGACAGCCACTTAAGGTGGAGTTAACCCTCAAGGTATTTATTGCAGTTTACTAAAAACTGCACTCACTACCTTTGCAGGGTTAAGGGACCTGTGACACCTACAGTGTCCCTTTTTAAAGGAAAACAGTTTTCCTGGCACTGCAGGTCCCCTCTCCCTCCCATCCCCTGCTTGCTGAAGGGGTGAAAACTCCTTCAGGTCACTTACCCGAGACACCGATGTCCCTCGGCGGTGGCTTCTTCTCGCTGCCGCTCCTCCCACTTATTACGTTGGCTGGTGGGCGAGACTGATCCCGCCCACCGGCCAGGGAGACCTAATGCGGATTAAAGCTCCTCATAGGAAAGCACGTGAGGACGTCCAGCGACGCTCTAGCACAGGTTTTCTGTGCTATAGTGTAGGAAGTGCCCTCTAGTGGCTGTCTAGTAGACAACCACTAGAGGTTGAGTTAACCCTGCAAGGTAATTATTGCAGTTTCTAAAAAATAAAAAAAAATAAAAACACAAAAAACCTGCAATAATTACACTTGCTTGGTTAACGGTGGTGGGAGTTGGCACCCAGACCACTCCAAGGGGCAGAAGTGGTCTGGGTGCCTGGAGTGTCCCTTTAAGGCCTGTCTAGGTGCGAGAAGCTAACATGGGAATTATATCCCACAAGACTGAGAAAAAGTTAAAGGCTGATCTATATTTACTTTGGAGGTTTCAGATCGGACCTTTACACTTGAGGCTGACTAAACATGACAGGTTTAACTTACCTTATAGCCATTGACACCTGTCTCCATCCTACTGGCAATCTTCCTTGGCAGAGATAGTCCATCATAGGAAAGCATTGGGAGGCTAGTGAACATGCGCAGCAAAACTCATGTAATGAATTAATGTCAAACTTTACAGCAGTCTATTTGGAAGTTTCTCCAACTTCACTGTAGTCAGTTTAGCTTTTTTTGTAGAAGGTCTGTGAGCATTAAAAGCCTAGAGTAGACAGCTCCTAGTATTACAGGTGTGATCAAGCAGATATCTGTTCCTACAGGTGACAATGGCTGATCTATGTCTGGTTCCACAGGTGGCAAATGCAGACAGGTAAGAGTTTGTTTTTCCTGTTACAATCCAATATATAACTGAGACCCTTTAACCTTCTAATGCCCTCCTGTGCAGCACCATCCAAATCATAGCCCACTCAAAATAACGCTTATGGTCTGTCCCAAAATGTTACCAATACATCTTGCTCTTGTTTTAGATTTAAAGTTGACATGGCTCTTTATCCTACAATAACCCGGATAAACCAGTCTTTGCTTGAGTTGGATGCATTTCTGGTTACCCACCCATCCCGGCAGCCAGACACCCCACCAGAACTCAGAGCCAAAACACCCTGATTCTTCAGTCGTCTTGATGGATTATAAAAGGGATTTGAGAAATCTATACATTTCCTGACTCAATAAATGCAGTGACTTCTAGAACCATGTTGAGATTTCAAAATAAATACAGTTGGATGACTGCAGCGGTTGTGTTTAAGACTGTTTTACCCTTTTACTCTATAAATCAAACTGAGAAACTTATTGCAAAGGCATGTATATAATCTCAATACTGAACTTACGACCAGTTTATCTACAAACAGCAAAATATTCTAGACTTGTAAACAATTTTCACCTGTGAATTTACGCCCGAATAAATTGATCAGTCACAAATCCTGGATAAATCCATTAGTTCAGGCGTAGATTAACAGTAATTTGATTTGTCGCAGGTAAAAAGGATTTGTACACAACTCAAATACTAATGTTGCAGGAAATCATTTATAGAGGAGTGTATACACATTTAAGTTATATAAATAGTTTGACATAGAAAAGAAAAATCTACAGGATTTTAAACAGTGTCCAAACATTTTATGTAGTCACAACGTGTAAAACCACTTTACAGTTCAATAACAGTGTCCCCCACCATATCCCTGCACACCCCTTGCATGGTGAATGTTCCTCTCAACACAACAGTCACTGCAATTGTGATTTACAAAATACAACATTCTGATGTCTAGCAGCCAAAAAGCGTTCAGATTCCTTTAAACATATCCAGACACCTTCTCCGAAGTCATATGGGGTAGTGAATATCAGGGTGTAACATCTATGAGAAATTTGGGATTATCACAGTAGTAGTTTCCAGAGACATTGGAACCTCCTATAATCATAATGCTACAAATGCTGCGTCCCTTGCGTTTCTCTTTGTCCGAGTCAGTCAGGTGGGAGGAGGTTAGATTTAGCAAAGTGTGACCATATCGAGAGTGTTCAGGGGCATCCCCAAACCTTATAGGACTCCAAGATAAATTTTCTGCAAAAGATTGAGAACGTTCATGAAAACACTTCCTTGGATTCTCCGGCACAGACAGCGTTACAACAGTTTCTTATTAAACAGTGTACTGTGTAGGGATTCCACAGGTTTATTCACAGAACTCAATTATAAATAAAATCAAAATGGAAACATTCTCCAACTCGCTGGAGCCAAAAAGCTTTGCTAGTTTAACATCAATTTTCCAATTGGAATGTAATTCACAAAAAAATATATTTCAGAGTTTTGTGAAAATCGTCAAAGATTATTGTACCACAGTTAGTCTTCTACATTCCATTGGAACCTACCTTAGTCTTAATACTTACCCAGACTGAAAATGAAGACATCTCCAAGGGTGCCAAGTGATGAAGATCCGCCATGAATCAGCACCCTGTCATCAGAGACTGGCATCGCTGCGTGGAAACTGGAGGTAGCCATCAACATCGACCAGAAAGAGATGGTAAAAATATGGATAAGGGTCAGAAACAGAAAAGAAAAAACAACCCACACAATTTTATTCCTGTAATTAACAGTAATTCATGAACTGCAACTCTGTATTATGAAGGCCCTAATCTTGGGTCCTCCCTAGATCAGTGTGAGTTACATGTCTAAAACCTGGGATTATAACTCCTACTTATCTCATGCAGCACAAAAATATTAATGTCCCACCACTATGCTTACAGGAAAGACATCTGTTTAGCTCTTTGCTACCCTAACACTATCAGTAAACATTAACCCCTACAGAACACCAACACTTGATAAATCAATACTGATGCATATGTGAACCCCTCCCCAAACAAATAAGTTTGTTTTGTCTTTCATAAATTATTTTTTTATATAGTGCCAGCAAATTCCGTAGCACTGTACAATGTGATAACCCTCGATCCCTTTCACTACAACAGGAATTTTAAACAAGCCTTGAAAAGGTTGTTTTTCAATTTAAAAAAAACATTTATTCATTTATTAAAACATTCTGCAATGGACTACCCCTAATGGTCACTTACCAGCGGGCAGCTGGCTTCTCAGCATTAACGGATAAAGATACTGGTGCGTACTCCATGTAACCTATAGAGAACAATTATCTGGAATTATCGATATACAAAATAAAGATAAACATGTTAATACTAAACTATACTGTGGAAGGTATTCAATCATCTCTTCTATAATTAATGGAATATGTAATTAAAAAACAACCATTGCAGACAGGTGAATCCAAGTTAAGCTCACAAACTGCAAATATGGTCAGTGGAAAAGCCCTTACTTTACAGCTTAGTGAATAGCAGGGTGGCCATGGGTTATCACTTTGCCAACAATTCAAACAGTCTCATTTCAACCATGTAGTTGCTGTGATTGTGAAGTGGCCATTTCTGCGACTAACTAGTGCATTAATATTAGGTCACAAAAAGGAAATTAAGAGTTGCTTAACCCTTTAAGGACCAAACTTCTGGAATAAAAGGGAATCATGACATGTCACACGTCATGTGTCCTTAAGGGGTTAAACTAAATACACAGGTTTCTATTTTCATCATTACTCAAGATAAGGCTTAAGTATTCAATAAATGTTGATCTTTTATAAAGTATGACTAATAAAAAAAAAAAAAAAAGTGAACCCACATATTTTGTGTAATGGAATGTTTGACAAGCAGGAGTCCATATATTTGGCCAAATTGAGAATAAGTGGAAAGCACAAACCAACGAGCTACAGCGGTAGTAAATAGTCTGTTCAGTACAAAGCAGCTTTGGAAGAGATTTTTTTTTTTTTTTTTATGAATTTCAGTCAGTCAGTCTTGACACATTTAGAGCTTCAGGGATCCAATATATTCCTGCATGTCAGTAGGATAGATAGGAGGAGATCTTAGTTTCTGTTCATGTTTCCCCATAGAACTGCAATGTAAACATCTTGTGAATGTAAAGGTCACTGGAATAGCAGAGATGATGGCCATGTGTTTAAATTACATTCCCCCAGACTGTAACAGTGTGTCACAGCCAGAGGGAAGGCAGGGCAGAGCAGCTAGAACGCTGCTGGGGCTGGAGGGAGCACTGACAGGCTCCCGGGGATAGGCCCCGCCTCCCGCACATAAACTCCCGCCTCCCGCACAAACCCCCGCCCCCGCCGTGAAGCAGCAGACCATGCCTGCTGCAGAAGATGGCTGCCTGACCCCCAGCAACAGCCTCCAGTGACAGGTGGGGG